CCGGTACTCGGCATCCAGTTATATTCTGGGTAAACCTTATCGACACCTTTCTTCGCGTACTCTTGGGGATCCATATAAAAAATTGCTCCAATGGCACCTAACGCCTGAGCTCTTTTGCTCTGAAAGATAACAATATACAGAAATCTTAAGCACACCAAGTGTGCGAATACTAGCAGGCGACGCCCATTTCTTTTCGTGATCACACCTAATCATAGCTGATGTACTATATGCTCTGGATTGTGTTACAATAGGGCAAAAAAAAATTAAGTAGACGTTTTTAAATAGGCGAGTGCCACGTTAAAGAAACTCATCAACAGTTTTGACTGTTATCTAGAAGTGACCTAGTTAAGTTTAGCGTCTCACAGAAACAAGGAGGGAACAAAAAGAAAAAACGGAAGACAGAGAAGAAAGGAAATATAGTGCTGCTATCCAAAAACTCTAATTCTATTGAATTCTGCTGCCTTCAAATGCAACGGCTTTGATCGCTTGCGGCCTTGGCAGAGCAAAAAGGCCACCTGTATTCGCAGTCTACCTGACCTTTGCAGGGCGGCCAATGTTTTCGTATCGCATGATCAAGATTTTTCCAGAGCAGCTAATATTACTCTTCTCCAAAGCTTCAAAGTCCTTTTCACGCCCATAATTAGCGTACAGAAGTTTCCCCTGAAAGACAAAACAAGCAACAAAATGAACAAACCCATGTCTGTGTGGCTACGTTAGTCAACCCAATGAAATTGATGAGCAAATTGAACTGCCTATAAGCCATAAGAATAGCTTCAATCTTTCAAAATGAGAAAGAGAGTGTTTTTTAATCCCGGATCAGTGGGCTCTTTTCAGCCTAGTATCATATATTTGAAATATTCCACGCTGAGGAGCAAGCAAATTAATGGGTCATCCGTTCAAATTTTGATTGCCTTTCTTTACAAGGTCTGAGTGAAATGTTTGCCCTCCAACATGACAAACGTTTCATCATTTGATGGGAAGGGTTCCCTTTTCCCTGGCTGATCGCTTCACTCGCCTGTGAGGCATGACAGTGAATAATAGCGGGAACGGGCAGAAGGAATCAAAACGAAAAAGCAACCGTCCAGCTCCTCAGGACAACGATTTGATGTGGCCAGCCACAAAAAGTCCTACTTAATGGGTTATTTCAGTTCCAGTCATTGTTAGTTTATCCATGCTTTAATTTGGCGTTCTTTTCTGATAGGTTACCTCAGCGTAGACGTATGATAACGATTTTGAAATAATGGAACATTAAATTAAAACCAAGGATTACCTTGATACAACCCCATCTTATAGACAGCTAGCGGTCACATCTGCTTTGGTCAGCTTATGACCTTTGCAGGTTATAAAATTAGCATTAGAATTAGAATTAGTCTGATTTGTCTGAAAAAGCACTGCTACCACTCTAGCAACCCCAGACTTTTTACAACGTTAACTTTTCTTAGGGAAAAGGTCTGAAATTCTTTAGAATTGAAATTGACTATCTTATTTTTTTACCTCGACGCTTCCTGGTGGAGAGTACGCATTAAAAGGTGGCACAACGTTGCTGTTGTTCTCTGATGGAACAAGAAATGACTCTTGAGGAGCTGACCGGTAAATCTCCTGCCCAGAGCTGTCGTACAAAGCTACAACACCAGGCTTTGTGGGGCGTGAAAGCATTATAATGTATTTCTTCAATGTGGCGCTGTCGAAGCCATATTCCTTCCATTTCTTCTGAATGGTCTTTGCCAAGTCAAGGTTCACTGGGTCTCCAGGAAAGTGAGGAAATTTGGTGAAGTACCTGCAATTTGAATTAACATTTTTAGGTGGGTCGTCGTTCTCAGTTCCAGGGCAATTGATAGGTCCATGTCAATGAAAGGTATCAGGAAAAAGCTCCTTAGAACTTCATCAAGCGTTCCTCCCCAAGGAAGTCTGCCCAAAGGACAAGCCACGTCCTTTCGCAGAGTTTGGCCAATCCCAGTTCCTTTTCGGCTTTTTCCGAGTTTGGATTTGCGAACAAGCTGTCTGGGGAGCTCTGGAGGAGGGGACGACTAAAGCTCCCCCTCTGAAACTAGGGGGAGTCGCATAACGAAATCCTAAAAATATTGATGTCTAATCCTGTGGTTTAAAATTGTCCCTAAGTGAGTGTAAAACCATTTTTGCGTGACATCCTGCAGCATTATTTCAAACAGCTCAAATACTTCGCCCCAGAAGAAACCGACTGCCGCATACGGGAATTATGCCAGCCGAGAAACGTACCTATATGAAATATAGGCAATGACGATTTGCTCAAGAATCGCACCTGAACGATATAACGTTGGACGGGTGTTGTACGCTATAAGGATAAAGTGAAATGCCATCAAACTCCGCCCCCCGCCAAGAAAAAAATGACAAAGATGTTAACTGAATCTGTGAGTTATTTGTGCTGCTCATCGTTTTCAGAACCAGTTAGACTGTTCAGACGAGCCTGACCTTACTGTTAGATGTGATGATGATTTGTTAGCGACAGACCTTCTAGACCGGAAAGGCCGTTGGCAGTACAGTACCCGCTCGGTCAAGTATAGAAACAAATGCCAACTCTAATGCTTTCGCTTCTTCGCTGTTACGTGTCAGTCATTTCATTCAAGCAATTTTGCTTCGCTTTATTACACACTCTTCCTTTCTTTTTCTCATAGTGGAGTCATACTTCACAAACGGACACCTCTATATGGGGTGAGGTTTCTTTTAGGCTAAGGCCCGGGGGAACTCAACAAGGGGCGCTTGGGTAGAGGTGTGCCGCCGTGGCCTTTAAAATAACTCCCGGTTTAAGACAAAAGTTGTTTCATTTCGCACACAGAATTAAGTCTAAGCCAACCTTCACACTCTTTGAAAGACGTCCACAACAAAAAGACAACCTGCTCAAGACACTAGATGGTGAAATTGTATATTCTGTTTAAGAATCACGACCCTGAAAACCATACCCTGTTCATCAGCACATACTCTTTTAAGCTAAATAAAGGAGTCCACCACGGGCTCCAAGGATCAATCTACAGGACGAAAACCTCCATATTACTGACACTTGGCTCTTTACCCTTAATGACCTTGATCTTATAGGCAAATCTTTGTTTACACTTTTGGCCTCATGAACATTTGCTTGTCACTATCTGATGATGCTAATAAAATAAAAACTCTGAATATTGAAAGGGCATAACAGTTTCAGTTATCTCTGAAAATTTGAGCCCAGTACACTGAATAGTTTCGGGGAAATTCTCTTCTAAAACCTCAAAAGTTTACAGAGAATGTATGGCTCATCAACTTTTTTGCCACACAGCAATTTCGCAGTTTTTGATGGCTGATAAGTCCTTCAATATTACTTGTATAGAGCTGAAAATTGCCCAAATTGCTCAATTTAATCAGATCTTTCAACTTTTGCATTTAGTTCATATATACGGCCACGACTTCTTTGAGTTAAGTCGTATGCTAATGAGGAAAAATGTAAACAATGACGTCAGCAAAGATCTTTTACGCGCTGAATAGTGCCAGTTGAGTAAAGCTTACGTGAAGTGGTGATTTTGGTCATACTTGAAACATGTCGTCAGTCACGGTAAAGTAGGCACATATAACGAAAGTCAAAATAAGATCACATAAGGTTGACTTGGAGGTTCTTGACAGACCACAGCCACCCAGTGACAGTAACTGCTCAATTGTGAAACACGTAATGGGTGTTGCTATGGGTGAAGCTCTTTCAGAAAATTAACCAAAACGTCGGCTTTGAATTTGCGACAACTGCCGTTAGCGAATGGAACAGCATTTTCCAAAATTTCCAAAACAGAGGTCAACCTCGAAAGCTATTCCCAAATTTTCGAAAGAATTTTCCCGGAAGTTTTCTTTCCATTCCACTTTGCTCCTAGAATTGCTAGAATCTTCGGTTGAAAGGTTCGCATTTCGGAAATTCAACAGTTTCCAGAATGTCAGGAAACTATTCAGAGAAATTTCTGTAACATTTGCCACTGTTTCCAATTTTTCAATAGCCTGCGAATACAGCCGTTTCTCCTTGCTCCTAGCTGCTAGGAACCTTTCGGCGAGGAGCAAGGAGAAACCTCTGTATTCGAAGGCTAATTTTTCGAAAGTTTCGGTTGAACGGAAAGTGTCAACGGCTACCTGTAAACAGTGCATGCACGTATACTAACGAAAAGATGCTATTTATAACGATAACTTTTCAGTTTCAGAATGAAAGCCTTAGCACAAGGCTACAACAAGAGCTTGCAAACAGAGAAGAGGTCGAACATAAGTAAGTTTAAAAAGAGAAGTTGAAGGTACTTCAATTACTAAAATGACTGCAATTTTTCTATTAGAAAATATCCTCATAGCTCATAGGAAACGGTTTCTTTCATTTAGAATCACTTCCACTCGTGATATGTGCAACGCCCTGAAGGACCATGTTGGCAAGGTGGAGGAAAACCTACAAAGGGGTAAATATTATGATTTTATACATATTCTTGTACTAATTTATGGGGTACAACCAACCTTGCCAACCACTCTTCTCATTCTTCTATGCATTGACGGGCAAATCTACATTCTAAGTCTTGTCACGTGGGCATGGAAGAGATTCCTAGATAAATATTCAGTTAAGTTGGCGACAAATCAGTATGCTATGTTGAACAAAGTTGGGAAGTAAAGATCTTTTTATTCTTTTTGTCTGATCTATTTTTCGGGAGAGTGACCGGGACGAACTTCGATTCGAAGAGTAAAAACGCCTGGGACAATTTCAGGCGGGGATTCATTATTTACCGTTATAAAATACAAGATTCTTATATTTTTGCGCGCGTCTCTCTATGACAGACATAATGATTCCAAATTATTTATTTGTTATTATTTTGTTTAATAGGAACTGGTGGTCAAATTTCAAGACCTTGAAATTCAACACACGTGACGAAATATAATGAAATAAAAGTTACTCGTAAGTCGCTTGCGTCTGTAACGTTCGGAATTTCAGCCATAAACAGACTAAGGACATTAGCTATATTGATATTTTTTGTTTTTCAGTTGAGGAACAGATAAAGGACCACAAACAATATGTCTTGGAATCTTCCGAAAAAATGGATAAAGCGGAGAGTCAGATACTTCTTCAGTTCTCTTACGCAACTGTAGCACCTCCCACCCAGCGCTCCTCCTTCTGCGGTTATAACAGACACCTTTTGGAGAAAAGGTTCTAAAGCTTGTTCTTTATAATGCAGCTTCGTCTACTCGAGAACGAGAAAAAGGCAAAGGAGAGTCACATTGCTACCATAGAAGCAGTTCTCGAGAACAGTAATGAGGAACTAGGTAATTAAATAGTAGTAGTGACAAAACAAAACACGTTTTCGTGAAGGGATACCATGGCTGGCTGCTGGAAAGCCGTATTTGACAAATTATAACCCTTGTTGGGAGATAAAATTCTGTACATTTTATTACACAATCTTTTCAAGACACGGTGAAGAAGCAGGAAAGTGTCATCACATCACAGCAGGTTCAAATACAGAATACAGAAGAAATGCTACGTTTGAACGCGGTGAGAAACAATTTATTGCTGACATTGGAGAAGACGGTTTGATCTTAATATTTTAAAAGGTCTCGGAAATAAAATGTTTTACGCAAATTCTTTAGGAGGAATGCAAACCAAAAGAAGACGAGAGGAAAGCGATGCAATCACAACTCGAAGATTCCCAGCAGCTGAATCAAACGTTAAAGGATAGCGTTCTTGAGATGAAAAAGGAGCAAAGATTAGTATTAGATGAGTTGGAGACACAGCCTTCTTCGTTGATAGAAGAAAAACAAACATTGGAGTGGAGGAAAGACAAGGTGTAATAAGTCATTTCCTAGTTCCAAAACCTCTCGCTTTCAAAACGAGGCTACGTGCAACAATGAGTTGTTGTTTTTTTTTTGCATGAGAATAAGAAATCGCTAGCTCGCACTTAGTCTCGCCTTGAAACAGAGGCTTGGGCAACTCGGAAACGGCCTATTAAATTGAATGTGAGCCTTTAACCAACGCTGCCAATTTCGCTGGCTTGGACAATGAAAAGAGTATCTTTGTCAGGTTTGCCAAAAACATTCTCTCCAGTAAAATGTTATTGGGAACAATTTCAGGAAATACAAACAAAGAGGACGGATTAACACTCCTCACATTGTCAGTTTATTTTTAAAAAGAATCCAAACTATGTAGATCTGATAAAACAAAAGCATATGCTGGCGTATAGTAATAGTTTATTAGACCAGTGTACAGTGTAAGATAACACAACTGACAAACATGAGCCATTTTTACACATACATGGTAAGGTGAAACACTTCTTAAATGGCCGTATTGACATGAACAGTTTCACCCATTTTCATAGACAAAACAAAAACAAACGTTCACCGAACTAAAGAACGCTTAAAGCATTCACACGGTGATGGTTACAACAAACTACGAAGAACGGTTTAGAACCTATGTGTACCTTCTACTGATAACTACGGCGTTTACTCATAGAGGAGATCCCTTCACTTTCGCTTACTCTACACTGCCATTTTCATTCTTTACTGAATAAACCTCAGGCAGCTCTAGTTTTGAGGAGTATTGTAGTGGTCTATCACATTGAGAGCCAACGTGCGCATTGCAAGGCATATCTATAGATTATATAATCGGTTCCAGCTCAAGCACGTGTGTAGCTGAGTTTATTCCATACGCCACGATCGCTATTTGCTTCTTGACTTCCTCTGGGGAAACTAAACCTTTCTGAGCACGATAAATGGCGTCAACGACTCCGCCGTACCAGTTATACCGTATACTCGGGCTGTGTGTCAAAACCACATGCCTATAATGGAACATTTCAAATAGTGTCAACAAGTGTCACCTTCAAGAAATTGTTGAGATTGACTAAAAGACATTGATGACAAAATCCCTTTTGTGAAAAACAAACGTGTTCAAATAAGGACGGCCAGGGAAAAATTCAGTTCAGTTTGTGGACTTTCTTCTCCAAATAGCCTTCCAAACATGGGCATTTTGATACAGTTTGCGCATTGAACAAACGAAAATCACACATTATTCTCAAATCACTTACCGCTGTAATGGGTTGTCTTGTAGAATGGGTTCAAGGTTGATAAAAGCTCGTTCGACGTTGAGCAATCGGTTGTTGATTGTACGTAACACTGCATCACTGGCAAACGAAAATTTAACAACAAAAAGTACGTATAAGAATGGAGGAAATGTGTACTCTAATTCCTTGAATCGTTGTGCCTCAAAAAGTGGATTTATCAGGGGATTTATGAGCCGGATGGACGGTATTTCGTAAAACTACAAAAAGGCGGCAGCGGAAAGGTGACCAAAATAACTCAAGTGTTTAGCTCACGATCTTCTGAAAAAACTCTAAGAAGATGTCCCTGTGCTCCAATGAACCCATGAGCTGTTCTCATGTTGAGGATATATATTTCCGTTGAACCTGACAAAAGTGCTTTCAGCGCCAGCCTTGATGGGCTACCGGGCTTTGCGCTTTAAGGAGAAGGATAGTGCTCATTAGGCAGGGTGGCGTTTATTGGGGATTACGTTATTAAATAAGTTGCTGGAATCTGAGCAAAATTATAATATACTAGGCTCCATTAGAAAAGGGACCTACTTACTCTTTTCTGTCTGCTTTCTTCACGAAGTCATCAAAGTTCTTAGCAGTTTCTTGGAATTTTTCGACGGCTTGGTCAAGATAGTCTGCAATATGATGCGAAAAAGCCAGTTATAACAGTTCTAGAGAAAAATATTATTCTGAACAATATTACTATGAACTCTTCATGACTATTTGGTATCCGGTTAGCCTGCGAATGCAACCGTTTCTCAATACTCTCTGCGTTTTCCCCTGCCGCTATAGATGGAAAACAATACAATTTAAATCCCAAAGTTCCATACGCAAATCCTTTTAGAATCTGGTTAGGATTAAAGATTGTTTTAACCGCCCGTGCGTATCAATGTCCGTTGTAAACGTACCAGAATGAGCATGATTCAGCCAACAAGGCTGGAAAAAAGACAAAAAACATGTAACTTTGACCCGACAATTCACACTAACATCTTTTTGCACCATCCACCTACATTTTATTCAATCAAATCCTAAGATCCTAACGATCCTAAAAAGCTTTTCAGACAACCTTATCCACCGAAATGAAACCTACCAAACGCCCAAGGTAGGCGAGAAATCGCGAAGTGAAAGTCAAGACTGCGACGACACTTTTAAGCCCAAAAACTATCTTTAAATTTTGCTTTCTGTGCATTCCCGAACGTTGGAAGCTAATATTTTGATTCTGAAAAAGAAGGCCATGAACTGAGTGTCCGAAGTATAAATGGCGTTTTGGGCAGTTTTTAATTGGCTCTTTATAGCCAGAAAATTGTTCGACTAGCTTCAAAAGGCGATTTTCGGCAAAATAACAAGGAGCGAAAGGGTTAGCTGAGAAAAAAAATACAAGAACTAACCCAACTCCTTAGTGGCGTTGTATTTGCTGAAATCAATCCCAAAGTCCTTCCTGATACGTCTGTTGTATTCCTTCATATTAACACCATAGTGTGTTACGTTAAAGGGTAGAATATCGTCATCCGCCAAGGTCATTGTTATTTCGGTCCATACCCTTGTGGTCACTTGATGGTATTTGAACTCAGGATCAATCAAATTTGTCATCCACCAAAAGTTGTCGTGAACTGTATGGTACAAGGGATTGCCGCTCGTTTTCTGTGTACGAAACCTCAGGGTCAGATTTAATTCAACTGAATAACAACGAAGTTGCTACGGCTTACACGAAACATAGAAATGTCAACTTACAGAGTTGTATGTGTAGCGAATATCTACAATAGGGATTCCAAGACGCTGTATAAAGTTGACATAATCACTGCCTGCTCTTGGTTGTTGAAGCCTAAAAGAGGTAAAGAGAGCATCCAGCTTCAAATATTGTTGGTCACAGCATTGCACATTCGCGGCTGTTAGGGTCTGAGCAATTCGCTTAACTACAATAGCAATGAGATAGATTTTCCAGATACCCGCGTGGTGTAACAATGGTGGGCGTCGTGTTAAAGCCAAATGGAAGTACTAAGCTATGCTTTAAGATTCACGAAACAAACGAAATAATGACACAGCCACTTGAAAAAGATGAAATGCTAGTCAAACAAATGGAATGCGACCTGGGAACTGACAGGATCCTCTAACCACTTAGCACTGGATAAAGAGCTAGCTAAACCACCTAAAATATAAAAAAAAAGTATTTTCGCAACACTGATACCTGGGTAAATAGTTGAAACCCATTATTGATGGGATTTTCCTTTTCCATTCTTCAAAAGCGGTCTCGTTTCCTAACGGACTACGCACCTACCAAATGTGAACAAAGATAGAAAAAATATATTGGAGATGGTTAATAATTTTTGTTTTAAAGAGTGGCTGTCCTATTCCAAATTGTGTTGTCTTAGAAAGCATCAAAACAAACAATGTTGTGCCGTCCAAAGTTAAGGGATTCTTTCCAATTAAATCCACTAACATGAGCAGGTTTTAGCACACGCTTTGCAGAAAAAAAATATCGAGGAAAATATATCCTTACTGACCTTCTGCGTTCCTCTGGCCAGTACCCAGTCAAGAAGAGGCGCAGATTTAGCTCGGAAAGAGTAGTTTCCTTGAAAAACATACCAAAAGCAAAACGATTTGCTCAATTAACTGATAATAAAACCTCGCATTTTTCAAATAAATAATAGGCAAATATTGAGGTTAAAGACTTCTCTTAACGAGTAATTTATATTTCTTGTCTTAGCCTTACCGTCAACTGCCATATCGACATTGAGATAGGCTACACCACGAGCGGACAGCAAACGAGAATACTCCTAGAGATAAAGAGAGAAAAAAGAAGGGCTATATTTAGCAGTTGCTTTCAGTCAGTCAGTCAGTCAGTCAATGAATCAATGAATCAATCAAATAGCAGTCAACTAAGGCTTAAGTTTGGTTTTCGCTCTTATCTTGTGTCCAATGAAAAGTGTCCAATTAAAATTGCTTGTTTTACAGTACTTACTTCTATCCACTCAACCGATCCCATATATTGAGGCTCCTCTGCTCCCCAGCTTAACAACGCTATGGTGCGCTTTGGCTTCCATCCTAAAGATAGATTGACTGGTTAGCTAAGATCCTGTATCACTATGGGACATAGTGCCGTACATCTGGACAATGTAAAGCATGCGCAATGTAATATTTTTAAAGTCGTTTTTGGTTAGCATTGTGCTTTGACTAGGCTTTGGTAGATTGTGCTGGCATAATTTTAAACATAATTCAGCAAAAGGAGCATTATTTTAAGCTTTTATTTTAGTTTAGCACTGCTAGCATAATCCGAGCTTTTATGCGTTGAAAACAAAAAAACCCATCATAGCTCTAGAATAATTCAGTTTGTACTTTATTTCTGTATTGTTTTTGGAAAATATTGAGGTCTGTGCTAAGGCCCATGGTCAAATATAGTCCGGCAGGCGACAGAGGTCACCCTGTGCATATCTGAGAGACTGAGACTCTCCTCAGGCCACCACGCTTATGGCTCAGCGGGTCAGCCCCTAAGGCCTCGATCAAAGATGACGTCGTCCTCGAGCACATCCACTTCCACCACTTCCAGTGCCGTACCGAGAGCTTTAATCTCTAAAGAACGTGTTCCTAAAAGTAATACCGGAAAGTACAAGGAAAGAGGTAACACAGATCCAAAGAACATGAGTCCTCGTGATCGAATCGAAGAATTCCCAGGGGAAAATTTGTGTCTTCGAGGTGGAAAACTGTTTTGCAATGGGTGTAAGGCGATATTGAGCTCTAAAAAGAGCATTCTCAAAAACCACTTGGCTTCCAAAAAACATGCCGCAGGCAAAGAGAAGTTAAAAGTTAAATGCGGGCTACAACTTTCTGACCCGGATTCAGACCTCAGAAACGGTTGATTTTCGTATCATTTGTTAATCATTTGGCTTTTCGAGGTGCGCACATGCGTATTTGCGATGCTAAAGACTGTAAGACTGGAAGGTGGACTATACGAATGTTCATTAAAGTCAAAAATGATAGAGTTAAGCTACTGATGATCTTTATTTTCACTGTAAAATCTAAGTATATAAGCATAATTTCGGTGACAGAGAGCATAATTTTCTGAAAGTAGCATAATTTTGGCATAATTTCTAAAAAATATGAGCGCTGCTAAAAGCATAATATGATCTTTTTCCTAGCTTTGACCACTCCATGGCATACCTTTCTTCAACTGCTCCCCGAGGACTCTAGACAGCTCCATCATAGCAGCTGTTCCACTAGAAGCATCTGCTGCACCAAATACCCAAGCATCACGATGGTTCCCTAACATCACCAGCTCGTCTGGAAAGCAATGTTGAAACTATTAGCTAAACGTATCAATTGTGCAAGAGTACTACTATTGCAGTTGAGTGAGAAGTTGACTCACATTACCGTACTCTCGAAACCTAAATGGTTTTAACATAACTGAGTGTTGCATACTCCTTAGTGTCTAACAAGACTATGAGGGAAACCTAGTTATTCACCCGAGTACCCAACAGTAAGGTAAACAGCCCTTAGAGATTCAAGAATCAGCATAGCCTTGTTAAAAAAATGGGAACAACAACAGCTGGTAAACTTGTAATGCGTTCATATGGAGAATCATTTCCTTTCCTTTAACCAGTTCTCCAGAATGTTTGCTATTACCCCCTAGGGCTTTGGCCATTACGTGTCAAGCTCAAAGGTCCCAAGCGTAATGTCATCTGAACGAATTTGCCTAGTCCCTAAGCCGAAATGGTTTTAAGGCCTTGGACCACGTGGTTAGAGCGAATTTGTAACGATCCTCTCGGCTACTTCCACGAAATGACCGAGAGGACTTGAACCTTGAAATGACAGTGAGATATTAGCAATCAGCCATGCGTATGATTGGTGTTCACGGCATGCATCTCAGATACCAACCTGGATGTGTGGACCCTTTAATTACGCCCACGACGTTGTAAACATCTTTCGGATAGTTTTCATTGCTGACGTTCAACAGGACCTCTCTGAGGGAATCAACACAATTGAAAAAATGATCAGCGAATAAACTTTGCTTCCTCGTTCGTTTAGCGCTAACGAGTCAGTCCTGAAAAAAATAAAGAGAGGCTAGACTGGATCGCCCATATTGATAAGCCACATCCTTATCACTTCTGTACGAAACGTCGGTTTCTTGGGATGACGTGACAACCTTACCCTAGACTTCTGTCTCCCCTCCTTCATAAAATCCTTTTTGAACCCTGACTAGCTTCATTGGAAGGGGCTGCTACGATTCCAACCCCTGATTCATCGTTCTCGTGAAGTAGAGTGCGTTCAGGCAAAACGACAGTCTTGTTAACCACAACGCTGCAGATAAGACGCTGATGAGCCAATCAGTAACCACATTCAGCTTGGTGCTATGTATAAACGCAGATTATTCGAAAAATTGACTCAAGAAGTGAAATCCAACAGCATACCATAAACGTCAAAACAAAAAATTAAAGTTATTCGGAGTTTTTCCCATCGCGATTCCCTCACCTAGTATCGTTATCAGCCATCTGGATACCATAAGTAAAGTTAAGACCTCCTTGGAAATCTTCGGCCGGAAGGCTACCAACTAAGGTTCTAAAATAATTTTAATAAAGCTCAATTCAGTAACTGTAATTTCCAGTCTGGAAGACCGGAAATGAATGATACGTCAGGGGAGAGAATCATTTGTAGGAGAACTACTTGAGATGGCCACTGTTAACGTGTGAAGTAAGAAAATTAGCAAGAAAATTAATTAGTCAAGGAATGAAAGAGGGTATCATTTATCTCTTCTTCTTCTTCTTCTTCTTCTTCTTCAGTCTCAGGCCATTAATTTTCTCGTTCATCCTTTTCTTTTCGCTCATTGCAACTGATCGGGGAACTAGGTTATGCACCTCTAAAATCAGCAGCTCAACCAAACGAGACAGTGATTCCTCGTGCTATTTAAGATTCGCCTTCTGGTTTATGCGTTCGCCTAGTTATCAGGTTGAAAGCGAAATTAAAGTACTTGATTTCGGTGGTTTCCATCTAAAGGGAATAAAGGGCATGCATCAGGAGACAGGGCTCGTCAACTACTCTGTGGAAACCTTTCGAATAAAGGAGACATGTTGGTCCAAGTTTGCACCGCAAATCGCACGCTCACTAAAACTTGAAATTCCCGCCGATAAAGAAGCTAAGTAGGTCTGGCTGTTTTGAATTCAAATGAAATACTTTAAGTCAGCCGCTGGCGAGCTTTAAACTCTGTCCTTACTAGTTACACAAGCATAAACACTAAGGACCGTAAAGCTGATGTTACACGAGACAATTCGTAACGACGATTTTGAGCGCAACACTGAGTTGCAATATTGGAACAATGCTGCAACTGTTCGAAACAACGTGGCAACATTGTTATAAGGCTGTGTTGCGCTAAAATCGTCGTTGCGAATCGTTCTGTGTAACATCACCTTAAGCCAAGGCAAAGAGATGATTGCTTTCGGCCGGAGACTGGCACATGTTTTCCCACCATGGTAGATGTATTCCCGGGAGCCAACAAAGGAAGTGCCACATATAATTATCTGCCTGTGTATGTCACCTTACACTAACGGTTTTCAGTGTAAACCTTCTTCTGCTTGAGCTTGTGTGGATAGTGACAATCACGCTTTATGAAGCGCCGTTGTATGCTTGGCACCGGCCAAACAATACTAGTATGATGTAACGTGTATCGCTCTTCAACTTACTACTCATAAACCTTACTCAAGAACTTACCGCAGCAGCGGCTCGGCATCCTTGTATGATATAGGATGAGTTGGGATCTGAGGAAGCAGCTTCTCGGCTTCTTCTTTAGGTAAACGATACATACCCTCTACAACAGGCAATGAATCTCTTTTTAACAGATTTCTGGGCTCAAAAAATAGTCCTTGTCCTTATTCCTTTGACCATGATATTAACAAGTTTGACTGGGATAATTTCTAATGCATTTAAGGTAATATTGCCCTCTTAATCTTCCACTGGTATAGCACAACAGATTATTTCTACACAAAAAAATGCACAGCAAAAAGGACATCTATCGCACTTCAAAACTGGCCCAAAACGTCGGCTATTAGAACTGATTTCTTTACCAGTCGGTCCAAATTTAGGCCACCTTAAGATAGTATGTAAACTTTGCTTTTGAATACGTGTGTTTCGTAAACGCACCGCGTTTTTATTCATAACCCAGTTGTTTCAAGGTTAGCTGGCACTAACCCAGAGTTAATTAACCATTGATTAAATTTGCGTTGCTATGGGCTGTTTGAGACAGTCCTTTTGAGTTAAAATGACGGGTCTGATCAGTTCCTAGACAAGAACGTTTTGTTTAAAATGTAGACAATGTTCATTCCAGGAAAAGGTAGGCATTTTGTTGGAAAGTGACGCGGTTTATTCGTAAAATCGTTCGATCGAATGGCTGGCCTTTTTCTGCAAAAATAATATTTAACTGCCCTTTCCTAATACAAAGTAAGTCAAAAAGTAGACCTCTTACTAATTGCAAGTATGAGTATTTTCGTACCGACAGATGGAAAGCCAGGAGTCTGTGGATCTCCTCGTATCGGGGTTGATTTGATATTACCCCGTTGTACACCAGTACTCGGCATCCAGTTATATTCTGGGTAAACCTTATCGACACCTTCCTTCGCGTACTCTTGGGGATCCATATAATAAATCGCTCCAATGGCACCTAACGCATGAGCTCTTTTGCTCTGGAAGATAACAATATACAGAAACCTTAAGCACACCAAGTGTGAATACTAGCAGGCGACGCCCATTCTTTTCGTGATCACACCTAATCATAGCTGATGTAATATATGCTCCGGATTGTGTTAAAATCGGGAAAAAATTAAGTACAAGTTGTTAAATTGGCGAGTGTCACATTAAAGAAACTCATCAACAGTTTTGACTGTTATCTAGAAGTGACCTTCTTTTTTCTATATTAATGAGCATAATGAGTTTTAGCCTTAACCTTAAGCCCTTTCGTCTCTCAGAAACAAGGAAGGAAGAAAAAGAAAAATCGGAAGACAGAAGAAAGGAAATATAGTGCTGCTATCCAGAAACTCTGACTCTGTTGAATTCGCTGTTATTTAAAATCATCCCTTTTTACAATTCTGCTTCCTTCAAATGCAGCGGCTTTCATCGTTTCCGGCCTTGGCAGAGCAAAAAGGCCACCTGTATTCGCAGTCTACTGACCTTTGTAGCACGGCCTATTTTTCCGTATCGCATGATCACGATTTTTCCAGAGCAGCTAATATTACTCTTCTTCAAAGCTTCAAAGTCCTTTTCACGCCCATAATTAGCGTACAGAAGTTTCCCCTGAAAGACAAAACAAGCAACAAAATGAACAAACCCATGTCTGTGTGGTTACGTTAATCAACCCAATGAAATTGATGGGCAAATTGAACTGCCTATAAGCCATAAGAATAGCTTCAATCTTTCAAAATGAGAAAGCGAGTGTTTTTTTAATCCCGGATCAGTGGGCTCTTTTCAGCCTAGTATCATATATTTGAAATATTCCACGCTGAGGAGCAAGCAAATTAATGGAACAATAAGAAGAAGGCTTGGGTCATTCGTTCAAATTTTGATTGCCTTTCTTTACAAGGTCTGAGTGAAATGTTTGCCCTCCAACATGTCAAACGTTTTATCATTTGATGGGAAGGGTTTCCTTTTCCCTGGCTGATCGTTTCACTCGCCTGTGAGGCATGACAGTGAATAATAGCGAGAACGGGCGGTAGGAATCACAACGAAAAGGCAACTCCTGCTCCTAAGGACAACGATTTGATGTGCCCAGCCACAAGAAGTCCTGCTCAATGGATTTTTTCAGTTCTAGTCATTGTTAGTTTATCCATGCTTTAATCTGGCGTTCTTTTCTAATAGGTTACCTCAGCGTAGACGTTCACAACGATTTTGAAAAATGCAACATTAAATTAAAACCGAGGATTACCTTGATACAACCCCATCTTATAGACCGCTAGCGGTCACATCTGCTGTGATGAGCTTATGACCTTTGCAGATTATAAAATTAGCATTAGAATTAGAATTAGTCTGATTTGTCTGAAAAAGGACTGCTACCATTCTAGCAACCCCAGACTTTTTACAACGTTAACTTTTCTTAGGGAAAAAGGTCTGAAATTCTTTAGACTTGAAATTGAGTATCTTATTTTTTTACCTTGACGCTTCCTGGTGGAGAGTACGCATTAAAAGGTGGCACAACGTTGCTGTTGTTCTCTGATGGAACAAGAAATGTCTCTTGAGGAGCTGACCGGTAAATCTCCTGCCCAGAGCTGTTGTACAAAGCTACAACACCAGGCTTTGTGGGACGTGAAAGCATTATAATGTATTTCTTCAATGTAGCGCTGTCGAAGCCATATTCCTTCCATTTCTCCTGAATGTGCTTTGCCAAGGCAAGGTTCACTGGGTCTCCGGGAAAGTGAGGAACTTTGGTGAAGTACCTGCAATTTAAATTAACATTAATTAGGTGGGCCATCTTTCTTTTCCAGCGCAATTGACACATGTAGGTCACTGTCAATGAAAGCTATCAGGAAAAAACCTCCTTAGAACTTCGTCGAGCGTTCCTCCCCTAAGGAAGTCTGCCCAACAGACTAGCCACTTCCATTCGGAGAGTTTGGCAAATCCCAGTTCGTCTTCCGCTATTTCGAGTTTTGTTTGCGAACACGCTCTCTGGGGGGGCTCTGGAGGAGGGGGCTAAAAAAGCTCCCCCTCCAAACTAGGGGGAATCACAAGACGAAATCCTAAAATATCGATGTCTAATGCTGTGGTTTTCTATAGATGGTTTTCACTGTGACGTCATCAAATTGTAAAGTCAAAATAGCGAGGTTTTATTAATTAATTAATTAATTAATTAAACAAAAAGTAAATCTTTGTACCAGTTTCCATTTCCGTAGCATGTTTCATTTCGAAAATACAGCAATTTGAACTTTCGAGTTTTCACAGTGCGTGACACCAAAGCAGGAATGCTGTCTCGTTAAAAAAAGTCTCTCCTCTTGATATTCAGCAATATAACCACTTCAAGTGTTAGAAGATATGTTTATGCGTACGTACGCTAGTTCTCGAGTGAAAAGAAAGATGTTTTTGTTGATTTCCGGCGGCCATATTGGTGCACCAAAACGGTGCACCAATATGGCGTCTCCATACAAAGCTCTACAAAGGTGCGTGAAACGTTTCGCCAAATAACTCAGAAACTATGGGCCACAAAGACCTGAGACTTGGACAAATTGTTTATATATTAGTCTTTTATAACATTTCATTTTCTTGGTTTCTTCCACTGGACGGTTTCCAATTTAACTTTTTGTTGCGTGACAGTGAAAAAACGATTTATTGTCCCTAAGTGGAATGTAAAACCATTTTTGGTTGATATTCTGCAGCATTATTTCAAACAGCTCAAATAATTCGCTCCAGAAGAAACCGACCGCCGCATACTGGAATAATGCCAGCTGAATCCAGAAAGGTTGCGTGCCTTTATGAAAACAGGAAACACGACGATTTGCTCAACTGAAATCCCAAGCAAAAGAGCAATAAACGATCCCTATTCGTGACTGCCCACACAACATCAAGTCAGTACGTTCTGCAGAGTTTTGGCATTGGATGCAGTCTTCATGGTTGACATGCACTGTCCAGCAAATGTCACATTAATCGCTGGTGGTGACCCAGGTAATGGATATGGCAACAAGGCCAGATTTAGAAACTCCAGCTGGTATTGCGGTGAAAGAGAGCGGGAAGCTGTACGTTTGTGACCAAGGAAACGGAAGAGTTAGAGTAGTCAATTTGCGAACGCTTTTCTGTCACGCTTCCCAGATTGTACAAGGGAGCGCCGAAGAAAGCCAGAGTGAGGAAGAAGATTGCGCCGGTAGACGTATCCGTAAAGTCCATGTACACGATCATTCCCTTATTTCTGAAGGTAATGTACCGAATCTGGTGTCACCATTTGCCATATGTGCGTCTGCAAAGGGTAGCGTTGAACTGTTTGTGTCAGACGTTGGTCTTGGCAAGATTTTTTCAATTTCTGGTGTTGTAGACGATGAGGAAACTAACTGCGTCGGCCAGTCAAATGAATTGTTTTGTTTTGATCGATCTAGTTTATTAACTTCATTAGCCTTAACACGTGACGAGCAATACTTGTTAGTTGGAGACGGGAATGGTTCATGTATTCATCTTTGTCAAGTGAGAGGACGATTGAAACTGAGAACAATTTCGAATATTCCAGGCCTCATGGGTATTGCAGTGACAGATGGTGGAACCGTGTTCTTGTCCTCCAGCAAAGAACACGCACTGTTCAGTTTGAAGGAAGAAGAGATGCTTGGGGGTAAAGAAACCCTAACAAAAGTGTGTGGAGAAACTGCAGGCCATCGTGATGGTGTCCAAAGTCGATGGAACAAGCCTACTGCTTTATGCGTATATCGAAACACTGTTTTCGTATGCGGTACCGGTAACGTAGCAATAAGAATGTTGACGTCAGCAAAGGGACTGATCCCCCTGCAAAGTAAGATGGCCCAATATGCAAACGTGATCCGACTCGACAAGAAAGCCAAAGAATAGAAAGAAAGCCTGCGTAGCTTGTGGTATAGTAATTGGACTATCTTCACGCTATTTGTTGGTAAGCTGTAACTGAAGTTTTACATTTCTGTGTGGCAATTAAACAATTCGGAGACGAATTATGTTTGAACCTGAAAAGCACTGATTTTGGCAATGTGTACCTCCCCGTTGTTATTATTAAAATAAGAATAGCCCTTCCTCGTTAGTATTTCTTCAACGATGTGGACTCAGTGGAAAAATTCATGAAGGCCAAAAATATTTTAACTTTTATATAAGAATCACACTTCGGGTAAAAAAAGTTTTTGACTGTTGAAAACCAGAAAATAGAATTTTGAAATCTGACCACTTATGGAATCCGGAATCCACGGATGTGGAATCCGGAATCTATAAAATATCGTGAATGAATTTGTTACCTTACATGGGGCGAAATGCAGAACGATATAACGTTGGATTTGTACCCTAGGGCGAAAAACCCCCTACCCCGGCAAAAATGTTAACTGAATCAGTTAGACTGTTCAGACAAGCCTGACCTTACTATAAATATCGTGATGATTTGTTAGCGACAGACATTCTAGAGCGAAAAGGCCCTTGGCAGTACAGTACCCGCTCGGACTGTTCATCAATCCAACTCCAATGCCTTCGCTACTTAGATGTTTCCGCCAATCATTTCATTTAAGCTATTCTGCTTCGCTTTATTACACACTTTTCCTTTCTTTTTCTTATAGTGGAGTCAAACTTCACTAACGGACACCTCTATATGGGGTGAGTTTTTTGGGCCTAACGCCCGGGGGCACTCAACAAGGGACGCTTGGGTAGAGGTGTGCCGCCGTGGCCTTTAAAATAGGTCCCTGTTTAAGACAAAATTCGTTTCATTTCGCCAACCTTCACAATCTTTGAGAGACTTCCTCACCAAAAAGACACCCTGCTCAAGACACTAGATAGTGAAATTGTACATGATGTATATTCTGTTTAAGACTCACAACCCTAAAAAAAAACCCATACCCTGTTCAGCAGCAGATACTCTTTTACGCTAAATAAAGGAGTTCCCGACGGGGTTCAAGGATCAATCTATAATAGGGACACTTCAACATTACGGAGACTTGGCTCTGTACCCCTAATGACCTTGATGTTATGAATCTTGTATGCGCTGAATAGTGCCAGTTCAGTAAAGCTTACGTGAAGAGGTGATTTTGGTCATTTAAGTATAATACTTGAAACATGTCGTCAGTCACGGCAAAGTAGGCACGTATAATGAAAGTCAAAAAAAGATCCTCATAAGGTTGACTTGGAAGTGCTGGACAGAGGGTCTACATAGGGTTTAATGTTTAGTGTTATTTGCCCATAATTTTTAGTGTCTTCTGTTAAATTGGCCAATTTTGAAATGTTTACTGCTTCCCAAGAAAGTACTGTAAAGTGTTTGGATAGGCTCGATTTCCGCCGTCCCCCGGGTCCGGTCTTTGATCCTTCCCGAAGAGGGAGGGTTAGGGTTAGGGTCTCGGGGCTCATTTTCCCGAACAGCGGCTGGTAATTGAGCCTAGTGTTTGGAGGGTTTTTCGGAAATCTTCGGAAATAAATTGTCGTAATAATGATGGCCGAAAACGCCTTGGCATACTAAACAAGACAATATTAGCCTTTCCGGAGCCTTTTTCTCTTCTTTCTGGAAAAAAATTACTGCTTCACAGAATTTTTTACTGTTAGTGTTCAAATGCCTAAAATTTAACTGTTTCATGTTACAAAGCCAAAAAATGAAGTGATTAGTGTTATCGAGGTACCCATTCAGACCGTCTTGACAGACCACAGCCACCCAGTGACAGTACTATTTTAATGTTGAGATAGTTCCATCACAGGCCGCAATTTTTTTTTCTAGTCATTTTTAACTTTGCCTGCGTCATAATTTTACGAGTAAAATGTCAAAGCAAATACGATGTTCTACTTACTCCAGGTTATCGCGCAGTTCCGTAGTGGAACTTGGCCATTCTAACAGCGTTTCTATGGAACTTCGCAAGCTGTTTCTGACTTAATTTTCTATTACCATTAACAGAATCGTCTCCGTCATCTTTGCAGTTTTTGGCCGAACTGCATCCAAAAGCCAACACAATCAAGGGGATTGTTAGGTAGACACATCTTAGAGACATGTACGAGGAGCGGCTTTTCTCGTGCATCTTGAGTCACTTTAACAAGAATGAAACCTCAAAGCTTCTAGTTGCCTTTTGATATTTTCTAGCCGTCCTTCAATCATCAGCTTTATAATCATGTCAAATTTCAACTTTAATATCCTAATAAGTGTTCCGTCTGACAAATGCAGCCACGCCCTGACCACAGGAAAACCAAGCACTCAGAAAGTTTGCGGTTCTGCTCACATAAATTGAACAGCCTTAAAGTCCCTTTAATTCGAAAGGGAGCATGACCATTATCTGGTTTACTGTGTGTCAAATATAATGGTGCATTCTCGAGGTCAGCAGGTTTAAAAGAATGTGGTTCATCCAGTAGCATGTCATGACAATAGTAGGAGTTGAAATCGGTTCCTGACAACACCCATTCTCACTGTACAAGTAGTTCGAAATCTGCATTTCGCAATTTGCACCTGCGTGCGAAAAACAACGAGTCATTATCCGCAAAGACAGGAAGCGACGATTTGTATACGAATCGCGCGTGTGACGAATCTCGCACATTCGCTCAAAGCAGGCAAAAAATGTAACCATGGTAACTGTTGCCAGAAGAGGTCAGAGTCAACTATTCCCACTCATAGCCTGGGGAATGGACTTTTAAGCACTATTCAAGTGATTTTGTGTGTTTTACAAAGTGAAGTTTTTTGCACATAATGCTTTCTCAGTTATGTATCACTTTTATGCAAAAAATTGTCTATACTGGCACAGTCAAACTCCGTTAATACGGACACCAAAGGGGCCACAGTTCGACTGTATTTGCACCCAGCTTTTAGTGAAGACACTCAACGTGAACGCAAATTTATAAAAACAAGAGATTCGCGTAAATGACCTCCCGATAACGTCAATAAAGAAACGTATTTAGGGATATAAATTGGACTACCCAAAACTTAAGAAAATATCCGTGCAAAACATTTTACCGAACCATTAGAAATAACCGGAGGTGGGGTGGCAATTTCGAAAAGAATTTCTGCGAGGTAAACTTCCCTGAAAGGAAATTCCTGCAAGCGGTGGTCCCGAAAAAAAAAAATTCATGCAGAGAAAATGACATGCACAACATTTCAGGGAAAAGTAAGGGGGAAAGGTAGCATATAACATTGCCTGAAGATTAAGATTCTAGAGTATACATTTTCTCAACCATATAAAAAAATGTAAATTTCCAACAATTTATATCAGTATTATTTTGTTTTCATATGAAACACTTACAACGGTAAAAATAATGAAATGTATTTGACGCATTGAAGTGCCATTTTTTAATATTTGAATAGCAGTACGTTAATGGATCAATTGTGTAACACAGATTCCCAACACAATGAATAAATATTAGCGTCTTTTTGTTTTAACATGAAATAATAACAATGTTCAAAATGGCAAAATGTACTTTACCAGTAAGGAAAACACCGAGACAAAGTGTTTTGGGGAGACTTTAAAAATACCTTTACTGAAAAAGAAAACAGCTTCAAAACTGTTAGACTACGAGTAGCCCCCCATTTGTCCTCGTGGATAGTGGAGGGAGCGAAACGCGAGCGCGCGTGAAAATCACCCCACGCGAGAAAGGCGACTCTCTCCTGGGGTCTCTCAAGACTTTGTGACGTAAGGAGTGTCGAATTTCAAAACGTAGTTTATAAAAGTTGTAAGACTCTTTCTTAGCTATTTAGGAATACTGCACAGTAGATAGGTTTTTGTTATCATGTGTTAATGTTTACAACTGACAAAAAGCAGGAAATGGAATTCCTTTATAGTTGTCGTCGACGATGCATTTGGGAAGAACCCTCCTATTTAAACCCAGGGATTATCAGTGACTGAAACTCGAGCATTCAGATATAGTAATCTGAACGTCTGAAACAGGCTAAAACTCGCTCATGTAGAGGAAATAAATTATTCAAGAGGCATTACATCGAACGGACTTTATCTTTAAGCATAATTTTTAAAACTAACTTCCTGTCGGAATAGCTCTCTTTCTAACTGCCGGTGCTTCTTTTTACTGTTCTGTGTTCCATGGTTTGTCAACAACGGAGTGGATAAAATTACAACAAAAAAAATACTCCAAATAATCTACTTACTCCAAATTATCGCGTAGTTCCCTAGTAGAGACCATTTCAACTGCATTTTTGTGGAACTCATCTAGCTGTTGCTGGTTTGATTTTCCACCGCCGTTTTTATCATCATCGCGCTCCCGATGGCCCTCTTTGCAGCTTTTTACCGAACCGCGTCCGATGAAGTAACCGGCCACAATACCGATTGCGGTGATCACAAGAAAACCCACAACTAACGCGATTATTAAGTAACGCCGCCTTGGTGATGTGATGGAGGTGTATGAGGAACCTTTTTCTTCTAACGTCAACATCTTACCTTGCCTTGCTTCGACGAGAATGAAAACAAGCTCTACAAATGTCACCCGGTCCTCGCCGGATATTCCATCTTGTGGTTGGGGGGAGGGGGTACTCCCTTATATGGCCTATACGGGGATGTGCCGCTGGACAGGGTATGGTTTTTGACCTCTTTGTTCTAAGTAGGGTATGTAATTTCGCACGAGTCTGTTCTAAACAGGGTATATAATTTTGTGCGAGTCTGCCCTAATTATATACCGAAACAGGATGAAGTTTGTTTGTAATCCAAGCATTGCATTCAAAAATAATCACTATAACGTGAATTTACGCTATAGCAAAAGCCAATAAATGACCTAAAAACAAGACGGCGAGCATTTGTCCTTTGCCCTAAACAGGGTATGTACTTAAGAATTTTTTTTCCTAAGCAGGGTTAGGGTTACTCTCAGAGTAGCTTGCGTGGCCTCATTCATCCTTCACTATACAAAGGAAATAGGAGACGTTTTGCCCACGGGCCATTTTACGTTGTTGCCAGATGACGCAGATAGTGAACGCAATAAGAAGCTACAATTCGTGACATTAGAACTTGGGTCAACTGAATTACTTAAGTTGACATGCTGTGCTCGATGTCCTTTTCTCTCTCCGTTTCATTGTTGTCCCACAAATTAGACGATTCTACTGAAAAAACATTACCAAACGAAAAAAAGGTGAAAGGGAGGTACCAGAGTGTGACCCAAGTTGAGTGCCCTCGATTGTAGCCTGCTGTCCGTACAGGCATTTTCTGGGTATAGGGAAGCATTATAATTCGTTCGGGTTATCGCGTGAGTCGTCTTTCGCCCTATGTCCACCCTATTTGTTTGCACCTTTATTTGCGGGCGGAAAAATGAAGTAACTGGGCGCTCACTCGCCCGAAAAATACACCTTCATTGACGTTATAAAGAACCTAGCTGAATTCCGGTACAGGCAATAAAGTTATCCAAAGGCCTGAAGAGGATTAATTAAAGAATAGCAGAAATTTTGTCTTTGGAATGGTGGAATGATGCCTTTTTTGGCAGGGGAACAAGGAAATAACGATTTCCTTTGTCCGGATAAGTATATGTTTTCGAACGAAATAATGTTTTTTGCTTGTTTTTGTTGTTGTTTATTGTTTATCACTGCAATAATGAATAAGGACAAATTTTCGAGTTGAACAAATAGACTTCATGTAACTTCCCCACTAATTCCTCTTTATTTCCTCTCCGAAAAGTACCGTCAAACTGAATCAGCTTGAATCATGAAAATCATGCCACCATTCCCCGACCACTGGTTACATGCACACGTCAGTTGAATGAAAATTTAGGCCCTTGGTTATTAGCTCACGTGCAGACGCCTTCGGCGTAAACAGACCATATGGATTATGGAAAGGAATGAACCATGTTCTCTTTTTCATGACTCTCCTTGTATTTCACGTCAATGCACTATGCTTCTAATTAACTCAGAAGTTTGCGGGCAAGCGGTTCTCGATTTAGCGGCTGGTTCCTTCAACGAAATTGTTCCTTGACGTTGTGAAAGAGGGGACAAGTGTCTGTACGGAGAAGATAGATTTTTGACCTTTAATCCAATGAAATTAATTGTTTCTTGGGAAAAAAACGTGACGGCAGCTAAACGCAAAGCGTTAAAATGATAATTATCAATAAATCAGAACCAAAATACTGTATAAAAAAATTTGCCTTGAAAGAAAAACTGCACGCATCGCTGATTTGCATTCCGTACCCCGATCATTAATTGAGGCCGGCAACGGTAGAAATTCCGGCTTGTGCTCATACTTGACTTTTTATAAGCCCTGTCCCCAAGCGATGTTGGGAATTTTACCACCCACGAATCGAACCTGTCTTAAACACTCAGGTCGTTGCAGGTTGCGAAAACTTGCTGCAGAAAGTAGAGAGTAGTTTTGCCTTTTGCAACAAAATCTGTTCGTGTTGCGCGTTATAGTGGTCCAAGGCAAACTTGTTCTGCAACTGGTGACGTAACTCCTGTGTATGACGTCACTTCTGCGTAATTTTATTCAGTCAGAAGCAATGGGCTCCTGTCAGAAGACAGTATTCACGCAACTTGAATTGCAACACCCTGATTAAGTTGCAAGACAGGTTTGAACGTGGGTGGTACGTCGCGCAACTTTGTCTTTCAACTCGTTTTGTAGTCTGCTACACAGCGGTTTGTAGTGTCGTCACACAACGCTCCTCCCCACTAACGAGGAGCGTTGCGTGACGACACTAAAAACGGCTGTGTAGCTGACTACTCGTTTTGCAGCCATCTTGCAAAACAAGTTACACGTTTTTGTCGCCCAATTTACCGTAGCTTAAAGATCGGCGTCTGAATCAATTCAGCAGGCCTAAATTTGGCTCGGTTTATGAAGATCGAACTCGATTCGGCTCATGTGAAGTGCGGCGTTGGAACCTGGCCAAAAGTGACCTTTTCAGAGCAATCGCCAGAATAAGACGTTCAAATGTTTCCCTGTTATTTCAAACAGAGGATCGAGAATAACTCTGGGATGCTGTGACAGATTGTAGAAATGACGCGAATAAATGTTCAAATTTAAACTGGAGTGAAGCCAAGCAAGTGATTCAGAATAATAATGTACTTACAGTAGAGACAGTGGACAATAGAAAATTAACATTAACCTTAGTCCTCGCGTGTGTTAGTTGAGTCGGACAGCTCTGTCAGAACCATTGTTGCTATAAAATACAACTTGAATTAAATCAGTAGCTTCTGTAGCCTGAGAGCAGGCTAAATTGCAGAAATTGGTTTGAGGCATGGCAAAAGCTCGTGATTTTCCATACATTTACAGCCTGTGAATACAGCCATCACTGGCGGCAAACAACGAGGAGAGACAGCTGTTTTTGCAAGCTCAGTCTCTACATTAACATATTTACTTAAAATACTTACTTAAGAAAATCTTTGAGATGTTCGGTGGAGACCAGCTCGACAGCATCCTGATGTATTCGCACCAAATCTAATCGACTGGTTGGCTTCGGATTCTGATTGTCTTCACATTTGCTTGCATTTTTTCCAACAAAGTAACCAATAACTATGCCAATAACAAAAAGAACCACAATGAAGACTACCATCACAAGCAGTAGCAAGCGACGGCCTTGTCGATGCTTGGGAGAAAATCTGCCCTTTAGCATGGACACCTGTTCCTCTTCCGGAGCCATCATAGCCTGCAAAACTGAAATGCAACTAAATGTTTAAAAAGCCTCTGATTACATGGCGCTATTTAAAATTAGTTAGGCAATGATTTTCAAACCTGCGGGGTGCCTAAAAGCCCTCCGTATGCTTCGCTGTTCAGTTGCTCGGCGGTCAGTGTAAACGCACTGACTGCGGACTATTTCAGCATGGAAATGAGTACGTGACAACGATAGCACCCTAAAAACAATAGTTCGCAGTCTGCATTTTACACTGCCCCCGTTGCTCGGTTTGCTTTTCGGCACCCACAAGAATGAAGACAATATCCTTTGGCAGACAGTAGCAAAGTTAAATCACTCGCACGAGAAGCCCCATACTTGCAAAAACTTAGATATAACTGCGTCAGGGAAGCACGAAGTGAAAACCGCAATTTGACTGAGCAACTTTAAACTGAATATAATTCAACGATATTTGTTTACCCCTGGCTACAAAAAGTTCCGGAGTTATGATAAATGCAAATTTTGTAGTCTATAAAGACAAATTAATAAAAATTCGCAAATCAAACCTTTTGTTTATCAATGGCCGTTTTCACACTAGTGATAGATTATCCGTCTGAGACGGCTTATCCGTTGGATAATTCGCGCCAGACGGATAATAAATTGACAATGAAAAGGTTTTAATGTTTAATTTTCGATGAACAATCCGCCTGACTTTATCCATCTGTTCATCCGTCAATTTTGACGGATTTTGAAGATCACACGGATAATCCGTCTTTGGAGTGAAAACGACCAGTGAGATACTTCTCGATGATTTATGGTCATTCAGTTTGATCAAGTCCCCTACACTTAGGCCCCAAATTAAAGACACGGTTTAGCACCATAAATATAGATACATGTAATGAGATGCTATTCTTTTATCTCTAATCAAGGTAATTGCCAATAGCGTTTATGCTAATCCGGCATTACACGATAATTGTCAGGGACACCCAACGGCAATTTTCGGGAAAATATCTGTTCGGAAGACGATTTGAGATCAAGAATTTTCGGAGCATTTGTTGTAAAATTTCTTGCTTGCCTGCGACTCCTGGGATTTTCGAAGATCTACAAAATGGTATAATTACCCATTTTTAACGGATTTTGACCCTAAAAAAGGCCACCTAGAATTTTCGGGAGCCACTAGACTTTGAGCTAGGAAATCCGAACAGATGAAAAGTTTTTAGGGGATAAAAATATGCCTATATCTACCGTTTGAATACTAAAATACGTTCAACAATGCTATGTTAAGTGGTTTTGATCTATATCCTCGTTGGGTGCCCCTGAATTGTAACAATAAAATTGAACCATGAAAGTAAAGACCTGGCATCGTTGTTTTTTCTCAAAGTCATTACCATACACTACAATACCCAAAACAATGGAAAATGAAATTGAAACCCAGGATAGCGTAGCCATAGAATTGAATCACAACAGGTATTTTATAGCTTGCGCGCTTTCTTCGTTGCCTCGAGACAAGCCTGTTACAGGCTCCGAGATAGCCGGGTGTTCTGATGATACAGTTTTATGGAAATGTAACAGGCTAACTATCTCATTTACAGAAATAAACATCTTAATCTTTAGGGTCCAAATGTCTTTAAAATAATTCATCTTCGTCGACATAAATTTTCACTCAGTGTTGTCTTCATTCTTTAGAATACATGTAGTCACTCAATCAAATCGCGATTACATCAGTATTAGTCAGCCACGTAAACTTTACACAGACAGCCTTGTAAAAAGATTGTGGGGCACAGTTTGTGAAATGTCCGTCAGCCTTAGTGATTTTAAAGCAAAAAGGGAAGGTACAGCTCTTTGTAAACTGAAGCTCTGGTTTCTTATTTGTCGACTCAGCTAGAAGCGGAGGTAGCCTAAATTCGAATTACGTGCATGGAAAGTCGGGAAATAGGTATGTGGTCTGAAAAACGGGTATATATTTTGCCCCATTATGGTCGAAAATCTGGTATGGTTTTCAAGGGAACCACGAATTTCAGCGCTGAAATAAATGATGATGATAATAGAGTAAGAAGTTAAGGTGAAATCTAAGGATCCTTTGGTCGTGGGTTATTACTCGCTCCCTTAGCAAGTAAATCGGTATGAGATCAGCCAGTGTACAAAACAGGAAATAATAATAATAATAATAATAATAATAATATGCTATGGCGGTTTTCAATGGGGTCCTCATAATAATGATAATGATAATAATGATCATCATCATTATTATCAACTTTAATAAAATCTTGTAAAAACCTATACACAAAAGAAAAAAAACTGCAGTTGAATAATTATAGTTCCTCACCATATACACATGTACATGAAATTCTTAAACTAAAAACATAGGAATTAGTTGAAAAATATAATATAAACAATTCATTGTAAACACTGTGCAGGACAAAACCATTCATTATTCCTATCAGCCGCTAAAATTACATTGTAAAAAGGTTTCTGTAATAAATAATAATAATAATAATAATAATAATAATAATAATAATAGTATTTGAAAAATAAAACGTTAACTCTCACGTAGTACGATTAGCATTGCAGAATTGAATGGGTCTACTTGGTATATTTTTGCTCATCAGGTCTTTATAGATCCTACGTTCTGCGGCACATTCGTTTGCGGTCCTTTGCAGTTCTTTGCTGTTAATGTTTATTAAATAATTATACTAATGAGAATGAGCAGGAGCTTGAAATGAGAATAAGAGTAGATGTTTGAACAATAAGTTGACTTCACTTGGACAAGCTAATTAGTTCGCAAACCAAGTACACCTTCTTTACACCAGGCCCCCATTGTTCAAAAGGTGGATAACGTAATCCACCGGATAAATCTCTATCCATGCTATCCGCAAGATAGGGATTTTTGCGGTGGATAGCGCTATCCATGTTTCGAACAACCCGGGCCAGGTCTTAAAACAGGAGTGTGGAGAAAATGGCATGTTGTGGGGCTAAAGCCTTAGAGACGAGAGTACATTGAGTACAATTTACATTTTCAGACGGCAAGATCACTTTGTCTTGGCTTTTACCCACCTACCCCAAGGAATTGTCTGCGTAGTCCTGGGAAGGACCGTTGACAGCGGAAAGTCGGACCAGCGTTCCTCTTATCAAAAACGACGAACCTCACTTTTCCGGTTCACATTCTCACAGAATTATCTTATTTTCATCAGAGCTTAAAACATATGTAAGATCACGAAAACATGGCAAGACAAATTCCTCTGACATGTAGCGGGCACACAAGACCGGTTGTACATTTATCTTTCTCTGATATAACGCCTTATGGATACTTTCTTATTAGCGCGTGTAAAGGTAAGACGCCATATTTCTGTATTTTTCACCGGCCGGCTTTCGCTCCCGTGACTTTTTGTCCTAAAAAATCCACCACTATATGAATTTAGTACCCCTTTTTTGAGGAGACATTTTAAATAGTCTAAATGATAAGCAAATGAGATACATTAGGTGTCGAGGAAAGAAAAACGACGCAATCTTGTAAGGCGCGAGAAGTCATCAGGGGCACCCAACGAGGATATAGTTCAAAACCACTTAACATAGCATTGTTGAACGTATTTTAGTATTCAAACGGTAGATATAGGCATATTTTTATCCCCTAAAAACTTTTCATCTGTTCGGATTTCCTAGCTGAAAATCTAGTGATCCGAAAATTATAGGGATAAAAACTTACCTTCTCGAAAATTTCAGCCAGGAAAAGGCTCCCGAAAATTCTAGGTGGCCTTTTTTAGGGTCAAAATCCGTTAAAAATGAGTAATTATACCATTTTGTAGATGTTCGAAAATCCTAGGAGAGGCAGGCAAGCAAGAAGTTTTACAACAAATGCTCCGAAAATTCTAGTTCTCAAATCGTCTTCCGAACAGAAATTTTCCCGAAAATTGCCGTTGGGTGCCCCTGAAGTCATGATCAGCGAAATGAAGTCGCTCAGTTCCGTTGTAGTTTCTTTGTTGCCACGCAGTAAACTAGAAATACGTGTCTGGCAACTCTCGCGAAACTTAGTGTGGATAGCAACACTCAAGTTAAGCCGTGACCGGTGGGGTACTGCCCCCGGGGTGGGGTAATTAAGAACAGGATCGGTGACCCGCCGTGAATATCCTGTGTTGTCAGCAAAATGAAGGTATTACAGGTCGTTTTGATACAAAGTCGTTTCGATACAAGTTTATTCAGTGTAAAAAGTTTCAAGTCCTTGGCTTAAAGAATGAAGAATAATCATCCAAACTGTTTTTCGTGTTGACGCGGAAACTAAACTTGAAGGGAACGAAATTAGTGCACCAAGAATATTTTATTCATGGTGTGCCCAGCGCATGGATTGAACATGAATGTTAATGACCTACACAATCGGATACCCCTGTTTGGTGTTAGCCTGCATAGCGAGTGCTGTGAAGTGTTTGGGCTCAAGACAGAAAGGCTGCGAGAGAGGGAGACACATAAAGGGGAGGGGAAGTGCCTGCCCGAGAGGCCCATGAAAATCATTTCCCTCTCCAGTCCAAAAACCTGGCAGCCGCCGCATGATCTGGCAAAAATTTTGACAGAAAACTATTGACCTTGCGCAAACAAAGCATGGCAAAGCGTTGTACATTTATACCCTTGGTCTAAATGCATCTGTTATAAAGATCAGTGAGGTTATCTGATTATAGAGTGATGTAGAAATAACCAAAGGGCAACACACAGCTTTAAATCGTTTTTAACCCAAGGCACAATAAATACGAAACCGAGTCAAAAATGGGTGTTTCTTGAAGAATGCATGCTGTGTATTATAAAAAAGCTAAATATTGTTCTCTGAGATTACAAAGTCACAACTGACAGACACTGAAGATTACAGTATACATGGATAATGACCATTGCTTTTATTGCACAAAGTTGCAGCCGGTTATAGAGCCGACATGTCCTACTAATTGGACCTAAACTTCAGAACACAAACTGTACTGAGATGTTGTTATAGGCTGAAGTAACAAGACATAAACACTAGACATCAGGTCGCCTTCGAGCAATACTAATATTATCAACAGAGAAAGGTTTTTCAAATTCATGCCTCTGGTAAGTGTTTCATTTCATCAATCCTGTCCAGGTTTTGATGGTATGCATTCCATCGACAATGAAAGCCGCCAGGTTCTTTTTTAGCAAAGAGTATTTCCTCTGATCTTCGTTTCAATGATTCAACAGATCTTTTGTCTGTTGCCGCTTCTGCCATGCGTATTTGATGTCAAATCATTCCTTTGTGAATAACGTTTGAACACTCCAACTTTTCTTTTAGATTATAGCCACATTGGCCCATTTAACCAGATTGAAGTGACCTCCAAGATCTGAAATTCAATTATACCAGTTAGTGGTGTAATATAAGACCTTCACTGCCTTGTCCATGTAGTACATTTTTTTTTTTTGCAAATGAACTTGTGTTTTCTTTGGTTGACAGTTTTCTCACCTAATGGAACAACTTATCCCCTCGGGAGCCTCTGAACCAATAGGAAAATTCCACACTCTCAGAAAGCGAGCAGAAACGATTTTCATTGGCTTCTTGGGCAGGTGCTCCCTCTCCCCTTGCAGAAGAGTTTGCTTTTGTCGGCTATGTCTGAGAGCGGGGGAGGTTATCAACTTTCTTTCCCTGAAAAGGGAGGGCTTATTAGAGAGGGAGCTTATTTGAAGGAGGGGGGGCTTAATAGAGGGTTTACGGTATTGCCACGTGTGATAATTTGTCTTATTTGTTGTAGATGGGAAACCCATGTTAAGATATGGTCACACTGGTGACTGGATTGGTACTTATGAAGGACACAAAGGAGCAGTATGGAGCGCTACATTAACTGAAGATGCCACAAAGGCAGCCACTGGTGCTGCTGACTTCACAGCGTATGTAGTAGACATAACATTTAACTCATGATCACTCTATTACAAAGACGGACACCTTAAGGAAACAGCACTAAGTCTCCATCTATTCTAAGAGTAATGTAGGGCTTATAGAGAGTCTAATAAATGAAGTGAAGGAAGCAGAAACCAACTCTAGGTGTCTGTTTTACCAAGGTTTCGGCCTTATGGAGGAATCCATTAGGAAGAAGTTGACTGTATTCTCAGTGGCAGATCAAGAGGGTCTAAACCCTGATAAAATGCTCTCATCAGACCAAAATATGTCTTAGTATTTTAATGGCTTTGTGCTTTAAAGACAAAAGGAATTTACTTGAAGATATATATAGTTGATATTTACCAGGGAAAAATGGGTCATAGCCTGTAAGGGTAGATAGATTTTATAGTTTTTTAACAGCTTTAACAGTAAGCACCAGTTTTACATCCTTTGCCCAAAGAATTCTGGATACAATACTGTTGTTTGGTTACCAATAATAGTTCCTGCCTCAACTTGTACTAAGTTACTGTTCCCCTTTAATGTAAAACCCCCTTTCCATCAAGCCCTCATCTTTGAACAGTCAGAATTTATCAATTCCTCCCCTTCCCTAGCCTGCAAAGCACAGACGTATTTCCGGACGACCAGAAATACGTCTGCCCATCGCGACCCCCATTTGTCCCATTTGTAGAACTGTGCCTCAAATCATGTGGAGCTGGCCTATTCCCACCTGGCTAATCCGTGGTTGACTGACTGACTGACTGATAAATCTGTGCTTTAAAAACTCAGCCAAGTATGAAATCAGTCAATCTAGCTCATTTTTATTGTTCACCTTTTCTAGAAAAGTTTGGAATGCTGAAACTGGTGAAGAACTCAGAAGTTTGCCACACAAACATATTGTAAAGATTGTGGACTTCTCTCCAGTAAGTTATACTGATCTTGATAACATGATAATTTGTTACTAATAACATCACGATAAGTAGCCTTACAGTAACGACATTAATTGCAATTGTACTACTATTTCCACTCATCTAATTTGGTATCTGTTAACATATTTCCACAACTTTTTTGACAACTATAGTTACTATGTGGCAACATGAACCCGTTTCTTATGATTAGCAAAGAATATCCAATATTAAAGTATTTCTGTCAGTTTTGCACTCAGTTTTTCACTGGGTGTTTCACACTCACACGGAAGCCTTCCACGGGTCTCAATGTAATTTGAAGTGCACATCTGATTTGAGTAGAGTAATCAACTCTATCAAAAAGATTTGAAAGAATGTTTATTTGATTACTAAAATTTAGAGAAAAGAGTACCTGACTTTTCTGAGTTAAGTAGCCGATCCTTTTTGTTGGAAATTGGGGCTTATTGTAAGCACTGCCTACACCTGTACATTTTGTAATAATGACACCATTTAGGCAGGGCTGTCATTAAGTTCTGAACTAGACATTCACCTGTAACATCTCACAAAAATTGACAGTGTTACCTTTATCATTCCACTTTGATCACCTGTAACATCAAGTGAGCTCAGCTGTAACCGGTGTTACGAGTTATGGCCCTTAATGAGAGTTCTGCTGAGGTACTAGTGAAAATTGTTTCGGACTATTTTTAATCAGAGAAACGAGATAAAATGTGGTCATACATATTATTTTGGCCTAAGTGCAGGGTTTGTACATGAAATTGAAGAATTTCAGTTTCCAGGCCTGGAAAGTCACGGAATTCAATTGTTGGTCCTCGAAAGTCACGGAAAATTAACGTTATGTTAGATAGATTAGATACTGCAGATGTCAAAGTAAGGACGAAGTAAGATAGCGACGAGAAATGATTACTAAATGGCAGGGGCTTTAGTGGACACCAGAGTGTCTGCTAAACTGAGTTGGGTCAAAAATACCCGAAAAGAACGAAAGTTTTGAAAATATTCGAAAGTGACAGCTAACCCTAAGGTCATGGAAAACTTTGAAAAGGTCATGGAAAAAGTTTTGGAAAGTCATGGAATTGGAAGAGCTTGAAAAGAGTACACGTCGCTGAAGTGTGTCATCTAATTTTGTTGCTGATTGCACACATAGAGGATATTACATGGCCACGTGGAGATACAAAATGTCTTTTTGAGTGTTTCCCATTTCTCTTTGTTTAATGTTTTTATATGCAGTGAAAGGTGTGATGTATTGTTTAGCCATATCAATGGTGATCTTTTCACATGTGAAGATAACATGTTATTATTTTTCACATTTGAAGATATCATGTTTTCATGTGAAGGCTCACCTGGTATTTCATTGGTGTTTATATAATAAATATTAGCTATCTAAACTTGTAAATTTGTTTTTTGTTTTCCTTAGGATGGGAAAAGACTTCTAACGGCTAGCAATGAAAAGCTTATAAGAATATTTGACTTGCAAGATGAAAGCGCAGGTAAGGAAATTTTTCTATTTTTTGCTGCTGGTGTTAAGTACGTTATTGGAACTTAATCTCGCGATTTTGGTGAGACAGTATTTTGCAGCGTTTTGTTTTCACAATTTGAATAGGAAAATGAAATAATTTAAAAATAATAAGTCGAGTCAAACATTCTGAACTTAAAGTGATTTTCCAAAAAGTCTGAAATTTTTATTTTTTCTGGATAAGCTGGAACAGGCAAAATGACATTTATCTACTCCATATAATTATGTGAAATCTTTGGAAAATAAAGTTATTTCACAACAGAAGATACAAAATTTATTTTGAAGTGAGCCCTCTCGATGAGCTTTTTTATTACTCTTAGGGCAAACTCCGTCAATAAAATACATTTAAATGGAAAAAAGCAATGTCATGGAATATACCCGTAACAAATTGTGTATTTGTCTATACATGAACTGTATAATTTTTGTTATTACATGATAAACATTCAATTCACTGTGATTTGAATTTTCTATGATGGGTATTAAATTTTGCATGTTTAAATTTTGCAAGGATTTACATAATTCACAAGTTTTTAATATAAATAAAGATCCATGAAATTAAGTGCCAATGAGGTAATATTTTTAATGTCAAATGAATGTAGGTGACTCAATCAAGAAGCATATAGTTTCAGTCATTTTTCAGTTTGTTACTCCAAAAGCTAGAGTGACAACTCTACCAGCAGACAGTCATATTTATTTTGCTTTTAGCACCCTAAAACAGTATTAAATTAATCCAAACATTTTATGGTGAACACCCCATCATATTTACCTTTATATGGGAGAAAAAGAAAAGAACATTATTTTACTGTCAATTTCTGCAAGCATATGTAATAAAATGGAGTATTGATTTAATAGTACTCCATGAATAATATTTCTTGTACCAACTTCAAGGAAGCTAATGATTTAATAGATTAACTATGGGAGCTTGAAATCAAGGATTCAATTATTAAGTTTCTTTTTTTTTCAGAACCAGACTTATTCAAAGGCTATACAGTGAATATTAGAGCTGCACTATGGAGTAAAAACCCTACGTATATTATCAGTGGAGGAGAAGATAAAGCAATGAGGTAATAAGCATATTGTATTATTGATAAATTTCTCGCGATACTCTGATCCCATTTTTAATAGAGACCTGGGTGGTGAGAATCAAGGCATCTTGCAAAATTTAATTAGGTTATACTGTGCAAGGATTCTTGAAATCTGTAATATACACTGTTCATCACCCTGTTCATGTCTACAATATACTGGTGTCTGCGATCTTTTTTTTTTTGTTTTTTTCACAGCTTTATTGGGTGCTCCTCTAGTGATATACAATATAAATTTGTAATACAACACACACACACACACACACAAAAAAAAACAAAAAAACAACTCCCTGGCTTTGAGAATGGTTTTGAAAGGCACTTCTACAACTTCAAGTCCACATTACAGATTTTCATCTTCTTTGAATTGATTGAGGGTCACACTTTCAGTGTTCCAGTTAATTCTTTAAAGCAGGGGATCATGTAGACCATTATTTTGAGGGGTCACTAACACCATGTGCTAATTTTTTTTCATTGTATTTAACTTAACATTTATTTTCGGGTTGCTTGATGATTACTTCCCAAGATGTATGAAACTCTGAGTGGCAATAAATGTTCAAGATCTAATCCAGTTCCATCAGTTTACTTGTATTCTGCTCTAGTTGAACTGTTGAGCACTCTTATAGTCAATGAGGACATCATTCTGGTACTTTGTTATAACTAAACATTTATATTTCATCTGTTGGGTCAGGAAGCCTTCTTTATCAGGTCATTGACCCGAGACCTGTCTCTTATCACTGCACTTTCTGTTCCATGGTCACTCTTCAACTCATGCTTTTTGTTAAACTTGTGTATAGGCTTTGGGATACAAGAAGTATGAAAGAGGTTAAGACCATTGATTTGCCACAGAGTGTTACAAGCATGGTTTTATCAAAGGATGGCAATGTACTCATTGCCACATATGGGAAAACAATATCATTTTGGGATCCAGAAAGGTGAGGTAAAAGCAGGTGAAAAAAAGGACCTCAAGTTTTCTAAGACAACAATAAAATTCCTACTTTTATAATATGTACAGCTTAATATTCTTGGGCAAGCAGCTGTCACATTTTGCTTGCCTGGCCAAGGCCGCTTCTTGCTCGCCATAGTTAATTATTTTGTCACAGGAGGACTTGTCTGGGTTCAGTGGTTCATTTATTTCACACTATTTACAGAGAATAACATAGAAAGAAAAATATGTTATGTACAATAGATGATTACAAAAATAAAATAATTACAGTAGGGGAACAAGCTTATAAAAATTTGTATGTGTGTGGAGGTTAAAGTAGCAAAAGCTTTCCAGTTGACCACCGCCTACTTTCAAATGAAACGAAGAAATGACACTGAGCTCTAGTAGGGAATGTTTGTAGAGCCTAGGACTAAATCTAGCTGCTCAGATGTCATTCTGGCTCTTGAAGTCATTGCCGCCTCACAGAGCCACTCGCTTCATAGGCAAGAAAGTTTTAAAAGTTACTTGCCCAGCAAGAAAATCTACTAGTCCTGGACTAACGGATGGGACTTCTTTCAAGCTCTGTTGGTAAATACATCTGCATCCTCTACAGCAATTTTATTATTTTTTTCTTCGCCTGACTGGTGTCTATGCCCCGATTCAGTGGTACTCTATTACTTATTTCTTTAATATTATTTTATTCATTCTGTTATTTATATGTCTACCTTTCATGTTTAGAATGGAACAGATCAAGTCTTTTGAGGCTCCTACAGCAATATTTTCAGCCTCACTCCACCCCAGTAAGTCTTGTTTTGTAGCAGGAGGAGATGATTTCAAGCTTTATAAGTTTGATTATGAAGATGGAAAGGAACTAGGTAAGGCAATCAAGAGACAAAATAACTATATACAATTCTTTGTTCTGAAATGGTTTGCCAGCCATTTTGATCATATTTTTTTAACGATTCACTTATTAAATATCTTATTTTCTTTGGTAACCAATACTGCTCAACCTCGTCCAATAATAATATTGTTAATTATTGCACTTTTCTTTTTTCAGAATCATACAAAGGACACTTTGGTCCTGTACATTGTGTCAGATATTCACCAGATGGTGAACTTTATGCCTCTGGCTCTGAAGATGGCACATTGCGGCTGTGGCAAAACACTGTTGGCAAAACTTATGGACTCTGGAGAGCAGTTAACAATGGTGTAGCAGCAGATGGAACAAATTCATGATAACTTATTTAACAAATTTATATTATTTACTTCTAATCATAAGAGGATTATGTCAAGTACTCTTGGGTGAGTCCAATTCAGTTTGTAAACACATGCAAACTTGTGCATTCTCTGCTTCTGTCCACACATGAACACATAAAAATGGATAATTTGTAAATTCTGGATGGAGACATTCAGAAAACAAAACATTGCCATGTAAATAGGTTTAAATGTATATCAGTTTGTATGTGTTTGCATGAACATGGTCCCAAGGTGTTTTTCCATTACATCAAGTTTCAACTGTTGTGCTAGTTTTAAGTAGTGGTCCAGATAAGAAGGAAAGAGCCAAACGCAATGAACACGTTGAAATGCGAAAAAGGTGATAACTTAATTATTGTCTCTACTACACTTCTGATTGGTTTAGACATCAAAAGTTCTACGAAATCTTCGCAAAGCAGCATGTTTCTGAATCCCTTGTTTTCTTACCAACTTCCCCATAACAAAATTTCTTCTGAGTCTAAGTAACACAGAAATCCTACTTTTCTTGGCTATTGTTTTCAACACTTATGATTGGTTGAAATCTCTTAACACACACAAAAAACGCCCTTTAAAAATGGAGTTATTTCGTAGACTACCTTTTTGTAAGTTTACGCATTCTCTATGTAAAAATGAAAACATTGCTATGTGAGAAAAGCATATTGTGCCATAACAAAAGAAATTGCTTCTTTTTTTAACTGGTTAGTCTTGTCCCCTTGATGCAGAGTACACCCTATAATGGCCTGCCTATAAAGGGTTTTTTTTTCAGACTTTAGGTATACATTGTATAAAAGGGTAAGGATTTCACTACATGACTTTGCCATTGCGGTCTGTAGAAGGACCACAAAAAACTATCAGATGCTTTTCATGGCTGTAAAAAAGTAAGAAAAAAGCTTCCTAGTTGATTGACTTATTTAAAAGATAGTACTTTTACAGCAGTTAAACTACACCAGATATGTGAAAGCAGTACATGTCCTTTCAAAAATGGAAAAAATTAAAAAGGGCAAAGTGTTGGACCTCAGATTAGAGCCTCCCCATATAAAACTATGTTGAATGCCCCACTCCCATCAACCTCAACCCCAAAACCACTTTCATTTTCAGAAATTCCCTTTCTAGTCCTGCTTCTCCAGAAAGTAACCAACATTTTGTTCAGTCCATATTTAATGGCACCCTTTAGTGTAGGTAGAAGGTTATTTGTCTATGTTCTGATCAGATACTGCAGCTCTGTAATTCCGTAGTTTGTATACTACAGAACAGGTCCTCAATGGTTGTTCTTAGAAAACAGAGTATTTTCACTCACTTGGCCAGCAGCCATGCAAATTTATTACGACAAAAGAAAGCGTTTTCATAAGAAAAGAGTGCAACTCCTGCAGAACTGTTTTGGGACACCAACATGGCAGACATGGGGTCATGTGAAAATGCTCATTGTTAAGGTTATATAAAATAAACCACTGGGGACAAGAGCATTGTACCATCTTTCTGAATATTATGATATTTATTTCTTAGAAAGATTCTTTTCAGCTGTACAAGAGATAGATAAGGTATTTTCTTGGTGTTGTGGATGTGTGCGATCAACAAATGATTTTGCAGAAAAGATTGATAAGACACTGAACTATCTCCTCCACCACACCACTCAGTTTCCACAACACCAAGAAATACCCAATAGGTATGCTTCTTTCTATGCTTTATTGCAAACTTAAGTTAGAGTTAGGTGTCAGAAATCAAACGTTTATAAGACCTGTGTAAACAAATGTTGTCATGTAGGAGAGTTCAAGTTTCACAAGAGACAAGACTTGACATTCATCTACCTTTAGAGAGACTGAGATGGCATTTTTCAACCTTTGGGAAAAGTTTTCACAGAATCATCTCAGATTTTGCTTTGAGATGTTTATCAACAAGCAACAGCTTTTAATTCCTTATTATTTTGTATAAAATAGAAACGACGAAATGATTTTATAACTAAGTATACCAGTATGACTGTAACTAACAACATAACCTTACATGTTTTGTAACAATGAAAATGAAGATGTTTTATCAAAACAAACTGACAAAAGAATATGTCAATTATTGATATGAGATATTTTTGTAACACATCATTGGAAAAACCATGACGACTGAATTGAAGGGTATCCTGCTAGTAGAATCTCCCTTTCTGTACAACGTAAAGTCTGGATTCTCTTCAAGCCGGTTATTCTTTTCTGTTGTACAAAGGAGACTGTCGTTGAGGGAATCATTTTTCGGGGTGTGCCTCTAGCCTGCCTGGCAGGCGTCCAAAGGGAGAGGTGATTGAGAAGAGCTTCTGTTAATCAGTCTGCTGAACAGGCGTTATATTTTTGCGTTTTTCAGGCGAGAGAGGGCAAGCACAAGACGGGCGTGGCTGGAGTGCGAGACAGGCATGACGGGAAAGGCGTGAGAAAACTGCTGTCCCGCGTGTCGGGTACTCCACGCGCGCCTCGCGCTTTTCATCTCCTGCCTGAAAATGCAAAGATATAACACTTGTTCTGAAGGCTGCCATCCATTAACTTGCTACATGGCCTGTTTTAGGCTCCAAGATAGTGGAATTGAGAAAGCGCGAACCCGAAAATAACCTTTTTCCCGCCCCGTCAACTTTTCGCGTGCCATTCACTTTTGCCTCTTGCCCACTATGTGAGAGTCTGGACAGGCTACTTGCTACATGAAATGGTGAGAGACTGTTAGTTGCTTATGGACGTCTATACCCGGAACAGGACGGACACAGTTGAATGACGGTAAAAATGCTCTGTACAAACAGCAAACATAAATTGAGGTAATAAAAGCTCCAAATTTATGGTTTTTATTCAGGGTTATGTGGAGTTGTATTACCCAACTTCAGTTGTAGCCATAGAAGATTAGACCACGTGTTCAGTGGTTGCTTACGCGAGGCTAAAGACAAGATGCCGGTAAATTTTAAACTCAGGTCACCTCAGAAAAGTGCTCGCGGTTACTTACAAGGGTTGCCAGTAACATTTTCCCAGCGAAAAGCACTTAAGATATTTTAGATAAGAGGTCGCGCTTACAGGAGGTGGTCGCACCAACCTCGTTCCCCCGGGGTCTCCCCTACCCGTCCCTGTCTCTCGTTCCGCAGGGACGGGTAAGAGAGGACCCTGGGAACGAGGTTGGTGGTCGCACATGGAGATTTGACCATTTTCAGAGTTTTGAAAAAATGAAACTTTAAGACAAAGTAGGGGACAGTCAATAAAAGCTTGTTTCCTTAAACTTTAGTTTTGTAGAATGGATTTCAACGAAATAGAGCTGTTTTACTTCCATCACTGTTTTAACATGTAAATGAAAACTAGGACTGTGGACACACTGTATCAGAGTAAATGTTCATGTTTTAATAAATAAGAGAAACAGTTATCGATGCTATAACGAGAAATTGTCTATAGCCTCGTGGTACTTCCGTCACTGAGACCGTCTTGGATACCGCCGAGCCCAACTCCCGGGGGGGGGTACTTTAGGAATTTCCCATATATGGTAGTGCCCCCCCCCCCCTCCACCCCGGGGCCCAACTGAAGGATCATCATAGGATTACCAGGAGTTTGCGGATCAGTAAGCTCGGCTCGTAACCGGTTTTCGTGTGAACTCCTGCAGCGGTATTGAAACGTCGTAAGGCCATTCTCTTTTTTTTGGTACCTTTTATGGTACCTTTGTAATGGTGACAGTGCTATTGAACTTACAACTGACTCTTGCGTGACGAACTTCCCATCGGAAGGTTTATATTACTCTGAAGTGTCTGCGACCTAATGTGATACTGTTTCATCTTCGTCTTATTTCGAAGGTTTCTTGCAGCGTTGTGGCATTTCGAAGAATGGCTCTCAATCGGTACCTCACTAGTTTGGACCGAACCAGGGCGAAATTCGAAGCCTCTGCCTCCGAAGTAGCAGATATCGAAAGCGCAGTAGTACAGGTTTGTTACCGAATGCTAGAAGAAGTGTACGAACTAGACAACCGATTTAAGACATCTCGTGTACTGAAGACAGGAAGCTTTTACGAAGGAACTAAAATAAGCGAACCGAATGAATTCGACTTAATGGCCGTAAATGAAGAATTGTCGCGTCCTGGCCTCTGTAAAGCAGTCAGGGAATGCCCTAACGCAGCTGGATTTGCTCATGTCGTCACAGAGGACCAATCTGTTGCTGATCGCTGGAAAGGAATTACTTACTCGAGAGAGGATGGTCGTCTATATATAGTTCCTTACAACCAGTTTGGCTCCGTGCAAGTGAGATTCGGGGAGATGGTTACGAATGCATACGAACGCCTTTGCTCTAGACAACGGCAGAGAACGATTTCCACCCCTACAGGGACTTTAAAGATGATACAATGGGGAACAAATCCGGTTCGACCAGGTTGTCGTTTCCAACTGAAATGGAGGTCAAGTTCTACTGACGCTTACAATCCTCTGTACATAGAAGTAGATTTAACATTTGCCGTTGAAGTGGAAGTGGAAAACGATCGTCAAAGCGCAAGAAATAGTTTGTATCTTTTAGTTCCAGTTTGGTGTTATGAATGCCAAGAACATTTTTACAATAATATAACGCTCTGTTGGAGAAGGTCATTTTCTTTGATTGAAAAACAAATGTTCGAGGAAATGGGTCACCAGCATATTCACAAGAGATGCAACAGGGTTCTGAAATATTTGAAAGATATGTTTTATCTTGACAGAAACCCTTTTCAAATCAGTTCTTATGTTATTAAAACACTAGTACTCCGTCATGAAGAGCAGTACAAGGAAAAGGAGCACAAATGTCTCGAAAAATGCGTCTTGAGAATTTTGCATGACTTAGTTCATTGTTGCCGAGAAAAGGAACTTCAAAGTTTACACAACGCTAAATGTAATATTTTTGCCGCCGTAGGAAAAAGGAAACTTATAGCGACAGAAAAAGCCATTCGCTTGGTAATTGCAGCCTTAAGACAGATTTGCGAAAGGAGAATTTTTAGAATCTCAGCTTGCAATGAACTTACTGAGCGTCTTCGATATGATATGAAGAGGTTCCGAGCTGAACTAAGAAAGGAAGATTCCAAAACAGTGCAGCACTGTTTTCTAAACGCGGAGTGCGAGAAATGGCTCTGTGGTTTAGCAAAAACGGAAACAAAAACGAAGGCGGGAGAGAGGGACAGTGCAAAGGGAGTTTCGCAATACCCGTATTGACGAGGCCATCACCGCAGTCGTAGCAGCAGCAGATGCAGTAGCACCAGCAACAACAGCTCCTGGGTAGCCTCCCACGCGGGCGTTTTTAGGGGAGCTCGTTTTTAGGGAATGAACAACGAGCTCCCCTAAAAACGCCTGCGTGGGAGGTTGCTCCTGGGGAGCTTGTTTTTCATTCCTCGAGAGGGATGAAAAATGAGCTCCCTTAAAAACGCCTGCCGTGAGAGGCTACTGCTGCTGTAGCGGCAAATGAGAATTCTATGTTGGTGATTAGGATTTAACTGAAATGTTTGGATAAACCAAGCTGATACAAGAAGAATAGCCATTAATGTAAAGATGTTACTCAGGTAAATACGATTTTGCTCTATTTTTGAGAGTAAACAAGTTGTCCAAATTGTCCGTGTCTCAAATAAAGGATGGTTATTTAAGCCTTCAACCTTGAAACGCGTCGCAATTGATGCAGGGGAATTTACTTGGTACTTGTGTGAAACCTCGTCAAGACAGTTCTGATCATACCAAGAAAGGACCCCGCGCACAACAATCCCGGGATAACTACGCTGGCTAGGGAAAGCTTTGTCAACAATTTTTGTGGCCTCCAGGTCAAAGAAGAGGTCCTCTGTCCAAACAAAAAGGAAACACTGACCTCTTTATGTAGAAAGCCGTAATTGGTACGTGAAATTTGAATTGAACGCATTGTCACTAGGACAATATATAATACCTCTTTTTTTCTTCATTTTTGGTTTTGACAGTATACTGCAAAACATGTAAGAAGTAACTCTGAATATGATTTAACTATCCATTGACATTAGTGAGTGGTGTAATATATGTTTCTTGTAATAAAACAAAAGAAAAATGAAAAGAAAAGATTAGAATGTAAAATCAACGTGATACAACTCACTTTGACTGCTATACATAATGCTTGAAAACAAGGCGTGGACACTCAAACTCTGCCTATACTCGTATAGGACACGAGAATTCCCCAAATGTCCCCAAATGTACAGATCCCTAGGGACAATAGGGAGCTTAACCAACAACGACGGCGACGCCTACGAAAACGTCACTTAAAAAGTGGATTCGCGCTGGCTTCACATTTTTCGCGTTTATTCCATCTCGTTTAATTGGTAGCTAATTGGTCAAATTTTGGTAAATATTTTTGGAGTTGAATTCTAAAGGACTGTATCAAAGTTCAGGAAAAGAAAAAGAAAGTTGTTCTCTTGTGTTCCCGTCCTCGACAAAACGTGGAATTAGGCACTTTCGCGATGTAGTCGTGCAATGACGACAAGAAATGTACATAAAAGCGTGATGCACGTGCAAAGTTGTTGTTTTGTCAATGTAAACCTATTGCTTTTTTGCCGTTCTCGTTGCCGTCGCCGTCGTCGTTGCTTAAGCTCCCTAATAGTAAATAGCGGTAACTCGGTCCACTCAATCTGTCCTCATTTAGCTCACTGACTAAAATTATTAAAATGTTGACTGTTATATATTGCCTTAAAAACGGTCTATTCATCAGAATCCTCACTGCTGCTATAATCTCCCAGCATGCCCAACGAGCCTAGTCCACTTGAGCTGGGATCTGATTTGCTGTTTGAACTGTCGGCTTCCTTCTTTGAATCTGATAAATTTGATGATCCAGTTGATGAACTGCCCGTTTTTATAGCTGCTTTTATAGCAGATTTTTGTCCACTGTTTTTGTCCTTGTTAACTTTAACTAATGATGCTAGCTGTGTCTTGTTTTGAAGTTTTCCAATGCTAACGCTGTTTGATGTCTTTCGTTTCTTCTGGGATGGTTGACTGTCTACATCCTAAAACAAATGAAAAGATAACAAACGTTCCAACTTCAGATTAAAATGGTCAGAACGTTGACTCACTCTTCTTTTGAACAGCCTCTTTTGCATTAGGGAGGCAGGATGACTGGGCAGTACAATGCCATGCTCAAGTCCCGCTCTAACCACTACCTAAAAGAATTGTTTGACAGTAGTCCTGGATTCAATGATTTAACTATGCTGCTAAAAAGCCAAAGGTTGGCTCTTACCAGTCGTGGATTTTTAACAGTGTTTGGTTTGATCTAGATTTTGTAATTATTTGAGTGCAGTGTCTTTAAACTGTTGTAGCAAGTGGGCAACTAGGTGCACTTCCACTATAAACAATCAAAGCATTAACCAAATAAAAGAGTTGTTGTTGCTGACGTTTAATAGATAATCAAAATTTAAAGGAAAAGGGAAAAGGAAGTTTTCTAATTTTTCTTCTATTTTTTGCATTTGCTGTCTGTTATTTGCTGTTTTCAAGGTGAGGAACGTTTATTTTGTAACAAAGCAGTTTGAATATTGCTGCCGAATTTTACAATGCTTCTTTTATGCCCAGGTTTTTTCACATGACATAAAGAAACAATCTGTGACAAAGCAAGAATATACATTTAAGAGATCATTGAGATATACAATTTGAGGGTTGACCAGAGTTAAGAAAGGAACATGCCGCACCTTTTTTAAAGGCTGAAATTATGTTCATTTTGACAAGATTTCAAGGTTATTATTTAGAAATGCTTACCTCTGCCAGAATATCTGTAGCTTTTCTTCTTGTTGGTTTACTAACTTGGGATGTTGGTTTGCCTTCTTCATTCTCTTCATCATTATCACTACTATCACTCAATCTTTTCTGGATCCTCTGGGCCCCAAAATATGTCCTAAAATTTAGTAAAAATGACCCTCTTGTTCAAAGAACAGAATACGTGGTATATAGACGTATGTTGCAGTTGTTTGCATAATTAATGATACGTAACTTTTAATTTTGCAAATCTGTCCTTTAGCAGTATGTTTGATAGTAAAATATAGTTCAAGTATGGCAATTAACTGTTGTAATAAAAAATTAAAATTAAAATTGGAGCTTCCGCTGATCAATTACATTGTCGGTATGCGTTGGGCAGTTTAAAAATTAAAGCACCTTCAATCCAACCAATGAGACCACAAAATAAAATGATTATAATCTAAAGCATGGCCAAAGGAACAGCAACATTAGCATACTGTTAACAAATAATCCAAAGGGAGAGCTTACTGTACTTCCTGTTCATCTTCTTCTGCTTCTCTGGCTCGCAGTTCCTCTTCTGCTTTAGCATTTAACTCCAGCAGGGTGTCATAATCAACTACAACAACAAACCAAAATCAACAGTGCATTATGTCAGGCAATGTTTCCTATCAAGTCCCTTATCATACAATGCAAGCCACCTGGGACAGATTTCTATCAACAAAAAATAGAAAGTTTGGATTTGGGGTCTCCATGCAATGACCTCAAAAACTAACATAGATATCTTTTCTCTCAATATGAATTATTAGTCAACCATGGTGTGTTAATTTATAGTTAATTTAGGTCCAGCCTGAATTTTTAAGTGTTTTTTTTTTTTCCAGCGGCTGAGGCTGTTCATAGTACTGCGAAGACCATACGATTTATTTTGTATGTTTTAGTTTATGTCTTTTCCCCGGTCAGGTATATAATGAACTCACAATGGCTTGTTCAACAGTTGACTTGATTAGCTCAATGGATAGAGGGTTGTGTTTGGTCATAGCAAAGGTCAGAGTTTGATGCCCAGTCAAGGCTGAATTTTGTCCGGTTCTTTTTCGACTGTTTAGGTTGTTCATTCTACCGTGAAGATCATGTTCACTTTCATATAGGTTAGAATATTGCTGTCATAAACTTAAGCAATCTTCCACCTTTTGATTTGAGCCTTAAAAAAGCATCCTCCACCAAGTAAACATGATCAGATACTAAAAGGTAGTCAACAGCACTTTATAATGGGACACTGCTTTCTCTAGAGGGTGTAGGGGGACCCCCCCCCCCCAAAAAAAGAAGAAAATATACTCTCTCCTCCACAGGCTTCCCAAGTGAAGCTGAAGTCAAGCGAGAAGTGCGAGAGGGGGATGATGGGAATGAGCACAGAGGACGGGCAGCTCCTTTCGCCCCCACTTTCTTTCATAATTAACTCAAATATCCCCCCAAAAGTGACCGTGAGCGACAAGGGATGAGGCAGGGAAATATCAGAGATGAAGAAGAGCATTTTTTCGTACAAGGAAGAACCGAAAATTAGGATTTTTGGGGGAGGGGGGCTGTTGGCATCATTTCATCATTTTGGCATTTCTCAGAGTTTAGTCTTGCTCAAACTAACTTTCAGCCGACATTGACATCTCTCTCCCAGCGATGTACCCTTAAGGACTACCCCCCCTGCTTGTGTTTACAAACCATTAGCCAGTCTGGTGTTTAGATCTCTCAGTTCCTCTAATTTCTCTAAAATATCCATCTCCTGTTTGGATTCTTTTGTCCTCTTTTCAAGAGCCTAAATTGAAGAAAGCAAAGAAGAAAATATTGTTACAACAGAGTTTGCTCAGTTTAAATCAGTCCCAGGCAATAAGTTAAATCTGTTAAATCAATAAGTTAAAACTGTTGTCTTGATCTTGGTTTGTTAAAATGCTTGTCATAATTTATTATTACTATAATTTACAAAGAATTCCCAGCTAACTGCTTCTTTGAACTCAAAGCTAAGTTAGGCTGGTTTTCATGTGTGATGGAAGCAAAGGCACAAGCTTGGAGTCCTTGCGGTATTTCGCTTTGAAAACAGCTTACTGAATAAATGAATGCATGAAAACTTTATTTAAGCTATAAGCTAATGGGTGACACTGTTAAATAATATGTTAAATACCAGATACAAATCACTAAAAATAAAAAAAATAAAGATAAAAACAGGCTTAACATGCAACTCTCTATATAGCTAGTTAACTAAGATCAACTAAACTGATTTGATCAAAATGCCATGTTTATATCAAGGTGTGCAATTCGAAATTTATTGTTTAGCTACACAATGTAGATGTATCTCACAAGCACAATAATGTTACATGAATACAATGCGCAAACTGCAGTAATACAGCTAACTTGGTTGCAGTTATTTGGAACTGTTCCCTGCTAAAGCTCTTGTTTGACCTGTGCTGTTGTTACAGTACCTTCATGGGATTATTTTGTTCTTCCTCTTCTTCTTCTTTCTGTTTTCTGTTCTCTTCATCTTCCATTAATTTCTGTGCTTGAAAGTTCCTTGTTGCTCCATTTTCGCAAACATAATCAGTGTTCTCAGGATCAGTCTATGAAGAGAAGACTTATCATTAGCCCAGGATAAGAAGACAGACTACTTCAAATTTAACCTTTGAAGTCTTACAATGGTTGGCATTTAATTGCTTCTTTGAATTGATATTATGGTCCTTAGGGAACAAGTGAAAGAAACTACCATCACAGGTTTGTCTTACTTGAACTCATTTTCATTACCGTAAGTACCATTACAGTAAATAAATATTATGTGCGAAGTACATTGTGGAGAACATGTGTTGACGTCAACGAAGGGTAACTTGATTGATGCATCACATGCCAGGTCTATTGTTAAGTTCTTGTGTTCTTTTTCTCAAATGCTGTCACTTCAGTCGCACTCTGTTATTATTGTTTCTTTGCAATAGGAAATTTATTTACTTTATTCAACCTCGGCAGTATTATAGCACAATAATGAAACATGCATTGTAACTATGTTAAGAATCCTAACTGCCAAGGGGAAAACCAGTAGACTATTTAAAAGCATGGCTGGTATATACATGTAAAGGTAGAATTTTATTAACTGACTTCATAAGTTAGAGCCAAGTTTCAAGAAACTGTCCTCCACTCCAAGAAGAGCTGAATTTGTTATTATATCTAGTAATTTTTAGTAATTCTGTCAAACAAAAAAACTAAAATTTTGCATGCAGCTCACAGCTCAGACAACTCTTAGAATCATATGTGAAGGCTGGGTGGCAATGAAACTGCTGGGAAGGTAGAGTGATTTGCACTACCGGTGACTCATTTAGACTGTGTAGCTGATGGGATTTACGTGGGAGTGCAGTATTGTTTTTGCGGCAGAGCCACAAGAAGAGTGGGCACAAATCAAAAATCCTGTGCAGCTTCACGTAGCAGCTCTGCCGCCAAAAAAGTAATCCACCCAGGCTATAACTCATTATACCTTGAATGTTATCTCTGATACACATCTAGGGCATCTGATGTAAAATCTGAATCTTAGAAGGCCAAGGTATGTTTCATTTTGTACAGTTTCCTGTTACGAAACAAAGAAAATAATAGCATTCAGGATAAAGGTAACAAATTGAAAAATAAAAAGAGACAAGATAATCTTGTATAATATTGCAACTACAGTGTGTGTGTTTACTGTGTGCTTGCTGATAAAATTGTTTATAGGTATGAATGCGGTCGAAATTTTATTGGTGTCCAATAAGTATACAATTTTAACAGCGGCCATCTGGAATGAACTTTAAAGGTTAATACAGTCTTGGTGACTGTGGGAATTTATTAAGTTGAGCCAATCAAAAGGAAACAAATTGTGTGTAAAGTTACTGAAGGCTTTTAACAAGCAGGTACACTAAGTCTAAAAGAACTGGTATCAAAATAGTTGTAAAGTTTTTGCAAGATAACAGTCAGTGAGTGTTAGATCAAACAGTGTTATTGTTGTTGACTAAAATTGGATTTTCTACTCGCATGAGAGCAAAAGTTAGGCATCAGGAACCACTGGGACGGGGGTTGCTAGAGCAAGCCTCGAGTCAGAAAGGAGTCCCTTCATCCACTTAATCCCTTCCAATGTACATGTACCATATATGATTGAGCACTAATTTATCATCCTGTATATAATAATTGCCTTGGGACATTCTTCTGGAGGAACTATGTAGGCTCAAAATAGTTATCAATTATTCCTAGAGCCCAAATGAGCTATTGACTCAGAGGCAATGAGGGCGAGAGGAATAATTGATTTAGTAAAATCCAACTAGTTGGTAAAAAATACTTTAGTTGGTAAAAAATACTTTAGTTCCATGTGTTTTCATGTGTTTTTCGACAAACTTTCAAACAAGCTCTTGTGGCTTTTTTGTTTGTTTTTCTCTTTTTTCTTTCAATGAAATTGCATTTCTAGGATTCTAAGAAATGAATTAAAACGATTTGCTTCGGGCGCCGTTCTATACTTCGCGAAAAAAAATCTCAGCTAGCTTCCAATTTTAAACTGACGCGTACACCGACCATATATGGAGAGCATGGTATAATAGCTCATATACCATAATGGCTAAGCCAATCAAAATGCTAGAATTGCATTATCCAATGATTCAGTTTTTAATAAAGTGTAATAGACTGAAGTACACTTTAGACCCCTCAACTATCCCAACACAATCTCATCATGAGGTACTGGGGCCAGGGAGAGAAACTTGAAAGAGCAATGGGAACTAAGACCCTGCGACAAAACTGTGTGGTGTCTACAGTGTATCAGAATAACAGTCGACAGATGATGATGCTGATGATGAAAACGTTAACCCTGTTACTACCCACCTTTCTAGCATTGAATTTCTTTCCTTTGTATATGTACTCTCCACAGGTGGTACACCTAAAAATATTAGAAATCATTAAAAACTGAATCAATGGATAATACAATTCTGGGGTGTTGGCTGTGGAAATGAGCTGTCCGTGGTGGGACAATCGTGCGAGGAAGCCGATTCTGAGAAGAAAGAGAAGTACCAGCCACTGCAGTGGGAGCTTACCAAACATTACCCAGGCTACAAGATCTTGCAGCTGAACTTCATCATGGACATTGTTTTTTTTTTGGGGGGGGGAGGGGTTGGTCCAAGGAGCTAGATGTTGAGATGAGTAAGATCTTTGGTGCAGGATCGAAACTGCTATTATAATAATAATAATAACAATAATAATAATAATAATAATAATAATAATAATAATAATAATAATAATCTTTATACTTGAAGTTTGTGAATGTTATCCATTGGCATCTACTTCACCTAGCTATTGCCTTAATTTCACAACCAACCTCATGTTAAAAGGGGCCATGAGTCGCACCACATACTGACGATCTCGTGAAAGTCCAAGCTTAGGGATCTTAGATGCATCGAAATCTGGAGGGTAGTATTTCTGTGGAATACATGTACAAACAAAGAGTCAAAATCCTTTTCCTTCTCATGAACATGGAAAAAGATTTTAAGGTTACTTGAATAAAGGATAATGTAACGAAAGCTCTATTGTAATAGATAAGAGTGGAAGTCTCATTCTCCAGAGAACAGCAAACACATGCACAGAAGAAAAAAGTACATATGCTAAACATGCCAACATTTACGGGGCAGCACTAAAACACAGAATCCGGAATCCTGCAATGGAATCATGGGAAACAGAATACGGAATCTGTGAAAGATGGTTCCAAGCGATCAATTTGAAAAAAAATTTATTAGCAATGACAATAAAAATAAATGAATAAATTTAATACCTGGGCAGAAGAGACAGCTGTATGATTAGAGGAGTCGATTCTGGTGAAAAGACTCTTCATACCACTTCCAGCAACGATTGCAAATTCTCACGGAACAGCAAAGCAAGGAGTAGCCTGTTCCAGGCTACAAGATAGTGGGGCCCGCGGAATTGAGAAAGTGCAAAAAAGAAAAAAAAACGGGAGGAAACTGGATCCGAGAGCCTGAAACAGGCTAAGCAAGGAGAAAAACTATGGCTGAGAAGTGTCAGTGGCAATAACTAGTTCCTTTAGAAAAAGGTAAGTTTAACTGAAAGACGTTGCCATCAAGTTGTTCCTAGGTGTGTTTTCTCGGTTCTCTTCATCAGTGTTCAGTTTTATTTATCAAGATAACTTACTCAAGAGAACCATGGCATTGGGAGTCCAAAGAGAAGAGAGAATTGTGAATGCATTTTCTTAATTCTGCAACTGATTACATCAAAATAATGCGCCATGTTTAATAAGCCTCAATTACACCAGTATCCCATTAGCATTCAGCTTGGCAAAAAAGTTGAAATTACTGCTAAAACACTGAAACTGTGGCAGTGGCGGATCTAGACCTTCAGATAATGGGTGGTGGGGGGAGATCATCCAAACCCTGATATAAGGGGGGGAAGGTCTCAAAAAAAGTGTTTTTCGGCCCTTTGGGCGTCAGTTTGGTCTAACGATAAAGGGGCGGGCCCCCCAGGCCCCTCCCCCGGATCTGCCACTGTGCGGTCATGTGACGGGTCGATCATGTGTTGAGTATTCAGTTTGGGGACAATCAAGTAGTGTGCTCTGAGACCAACTACTACCACTCTTGACATATAGCTTAAAACGTAATGTTTAACTGTATTATTCAAGCCATAAACTCGTGAATAAAAATTACTTATAAAATTACTTTTAATCGGCCTTGCAGTGCAATAAATCACACTATGGCAAACCTTATCAAGACACACTAACAAGCATATATTTGAAGGAAACTGCAAAGAAAACTAAAACAAATCCTCTTTGGATTGTATCAATTATGCAAAGTGAAATTCTTTAATTTTCTATCATTGATATTTGATTCCGTATTCCGTTTCCCTTTCTGTTTCCGTTCGCGTGATTCCGTTTCCGGATTCCATGTTTTAGTGCTGCCGACATTTATGACATTTATTAGATGGGTAGGTAAAAAGAGATTCGTAGCTTCTGGACCAAAACAACGTTTAATATGTCCAATTTTTAAGTTTTTTCCTCCATAAAGCTACGGTCCCCTTAAAGTAACTGAAGCCAGTGGAGTACGATCGCAAGCTTGGAATCGATGCATTGAGCGTCATACGTTTGAAAAATAGTATGAGATTGCTGCACTCTTAATAAATGTATGGAGCTGTCTGGAAATCTTAGCAATAATTCAAATCACCTCGCTGGCTATTTAAAGCATCAGAAACAAAACCAAAAACAAATGAAATCAATTTTTTCTGACTTACGTTGAGCACTTTTCGTTCCGACATCTTGTTTTCTCTTAAAAGTAGCGGTTACCAAGCTATCCCATGGTGCCCATTACCTCAAAATATTTGTGAGGAATGATACGGCAACACGCAACGAGCTAATACAAAACACAGAAGAATAAATTATGAAGCGTATTGTTTTGACAGCTGAGGAAATCAGCTAGTTATTTACAGAGAATCAGGAAGAGTTGTCCTAATGCTATACCGCTAGAGACTGCTACTCAAGAAATTGCACCTTTGTTCTTGTCTACTCGCACGCTGTGTCTGTGTGTCCTGTCTAATGAGTCAAGGTTAGAGACATCACGCTTCAAGTCTCCAATCGCCAATCTCCTGTTCGGCTACTTTGAATTTCATATCTTGCCCCGTCGTTAATAATCTGGCCCTCAGGACATCTACTCTGGATTCCAAATGCAAATGCTACGAATTATGACTGCTTCGTTTGCTCTTTTGGGGATTATTTTTCTTCGTTTCTGCGCGAGGTCGTCGTAAAAGTGGTAAGACCGATCACCTGACCTGAACGGATACAGTATATTCTGTCATTTTATCGTCAACACAGTAGAAAACAGCGGTTTCAACGGTTTGCGGGAAAGGATCCTTTTCCTAACTGACAGTAACACCGACAATATGAGAGGCAAGTCGACTGTAAAAGCTTAACTGTGCTTTGCTATACACTACAGGTGTTTTTTATAACATAGTGACGGGGCGGTGACTTCTCATAACTTAAATTTCACGCTGGTTTGCAATATTTCGAGCAACGATGGTAGGTTGTAAATTTCATAAATTTTGCTGTGGGTAGATTGCTAATGAATTTGGCTCAACGGGGGGTGAGCAGAATAACTCAAATAACGTTGGCATAATAATAATTCACTGAAAAATTTAAATGTTTCGCACCATAAATATGGCGTTATGACTCCTCTGTTGTCCTTTTCGCGTGATGCGTATTGAAAAGTTTTGTTCCTGAGTATTAAAAATTCTCACATTCTCGTGGCAGATTTCTCAAAGGACCTCACAAAGCCATGCGATTAGTTCACAATTTTTTTACATTTGCGGAAGTGGAAATTAAGAATAGCTCTTTTGTGAAATACTAAAATGCGCTTCATCGCCAACAGAGCAGCCATTAGCGCAAATAAAATCGGCGAGAATTTTAATTTTTACAACCTTCGGTATACTGGAAATCTTTGAGGATGGGTAATAAAACGTTTGTTTAATTTGAAGAAAAACTCAAAACTGAAGTACATTTTCCCTTAATGACAGAACGTATAATTCGGTTTTTCCCAGGGTGAGATGTTCTTTGCACGTCGACTATGATCGAATGTTAACCGCCGGACCGTGGCATGTCGCTTTGTGATAATCCTAGCACCTTATAAAGGAGAATTTTGTTCGAACGATCGACGTCTGCTGCTGTGAAATTTCCTTCCTTCCGACCAAAAAATCCCAAGCTGACCGAATTTTCGTAAGTTTTAATAGGATTCTCTAGATCACATCAATTGTCGTCTGTGGATGTCACTCGCGATATTATTTCTTCAGTTAATCATGAGCTTCAAACAGTTATTATTCGGAAGTGAAGTAATTTATTATTTCTCGCCTTTTCATCTAATGTGTTTTCTTTTCGTCTCTTGTTCTCGGTTCCGCATTCGGAACAAATACCGAACGCTTACAATCACAGTCTTCGTATTCGATTCATTTCTCACCGATTTTATTGTTGATGTCCTAGGTTTTGGAATTGGAAAATCGTGATATGATAATTTGTTAGCATCGGCCATGGCAGGAGTCTTTGAAGCTGGAGATATAGTCAAGTATGGTGAAATGATGATCAAGAGACCTCCAACCCATGCAAAAGTTCGGATTAAGGTAATTGATTTTTAGTAGAAATTAACGTGCCTATTACCACAAACCTAGTATGTTTAGTGAAGTCACAAGTCCAATCAAGTGGACTTCTAACAACTTCTAGATACAAATTTGCCATTTTGTTTTTGCATGCAATATCGATATGAGGTATATGTGGAAGTTGCAGTTTGGCTAATTTTTTTGCTCCAAAGCTCTTTAACATCTAATCTTCTTGATCTGTGAGGTGGCGTTGGTACTATTCTCGCAGATCAACTTCATCAAGACTACAGTACTACTGTAGTTCATTGCTAAGAAACAGGGCAGCCTCTTTTATTTTAACAATGCTTCGCCACCCACTTACTCGTGTAATTGGCTGTCAAAGGGATGGCAAAACAGATGTTCATATAATACCACAGTCATTAGTCTCATTGATGAGCTGCATCATGAAAATGAAAAGTTTCCTTAATTTAAAGGTTTTGTTAGTGCTGTAACAGTGTACAAACATCCTTTTTAGCAAAACAGTCATCAAGGACTTCCCTCACTAAATTTTTTGTGGTACATTATACATGAATGCAGAAAGGGCTAGACACAGCTGTGTTATGGATAATATTGTTTTGTCTTTTTCACCACATAATTATCACGTGAGCAGTTACATGTATTGGGAAGAAGACACACAAAATCATGCTCAACGTGAAAATTAAATTA